ACATATTTAAAGGGTAAAAAATATGTGTAAACGTAGTGCATAATGATCACAAAAACAGTTTATTCAAAGTGCGTGCGGTATGAAATTTTGACGTTGTCGGTATTCGTCTAGAGCCGCCATTATAAAAGAATTGTAGCGTCGCGTTCCGGGACGCCTGCTGCTGCAACATACACAAGCATGAAAAAGAGGAGTGGTGGCAAGTCGAAAGAACTTGGATTTCTGGTCTGACCGCTGTAAGTAAACTGTGCATGTGCATATCGATGTGGATGCGTGTATGTGTATGCATGGGTTTTAAAATAAACTTGGAAATCAAATGTTCCGGATGTATGAAAAGATAGTATATTGTTCAATTTCGATACCATATTTGCCATATTCCAACATACAATTTTTACCGCCTTTTTATACTAAAGCACTAGCTCCGAAAAACAGCGCACACAAGCAGTCAACGACAGTCAATAAGAACAACGCAATCACACACACACACAGATACGCCACAATGTTTCTGTACCTCTCTCTCTCTCTCTCTCTCTGTCTCTCTATTTTGCTTCTCCCACAAGAAACAGGAACACCGAACACGAAACAAGAGCTCTTTACGAGTACACTAGGCAAGGCAGTTCCAGACTATTTTGACTTTGAACCAATAGGAAGAAAAACTTTTTATCTTCACATTTTCCAAAAAAATTTGCTTCCTTTATTTTTATTTTTAAAGATTTTCAAATAATCAAATAATTATTCTACAATATTTTTAATTTTAATTATAAGATGTAAGAATTACTTATGCTCGCAGTATTTGGAGTGATTCCATTTCATTTTTGAAATGTAAAAGTTCTGGGAAATATTTATTCAATAACTATCTTCAGACCAGCTTGTAGTTGTAGTAATATAAATATAGAGCATTCAAAAGTTCGTTCTTTGCAACGTGGTATACCAACGGCTTGTGCTCACTGTGTGTTCGTGCAGGGCACGAAGCGAACGCGCCTCACGAAGAACTTTACATCGCGCTTCTGCTTCTGCTGCCTCCGCGTCTCATTCAATTTTCAGTTTGCTTTGCTCTGTACACCGTACACCACCGCCTCTCACCCGCGCGGCGTTTTGATTTTTCTACTACTGTTGCTGCTGTGCTGCCAAAGTTTTTTCCAACACAAGCACCGCCACCAATACAATCAAGTAATTTTTCATACATACATACATATAATGGCGTCATAAGAACATATTTTAGCGAATGTTAATGCAAAAATGCAAACAAGCAATTGGAGGGGGATGGGAGACTTTATGGTGAAAAGTGCTCCTGGAAGTGAGTGAAAAATAATCTGATTGGAAAAATAGTGTACATTTGTGAAATTCTAATACAATATTATCAAATGACTGCGGTCGACATCAGTGTGTGTGCGAGAGTGTGAGCGACATATGCATGCCTATATGTGTGTGCGTTTGAATGAGATACGTGAGCTGCTGTGTGCTTATGTGTTGTATCTGTGAGACCGTGTTTGTCAATGTGTGTGTACGTAATAAATATACATATGCACGTACACACACACACACACATAGTTCCCATTAACGTCATCATCGTGTCATTTTCTTGTTTGCAAGGCGGCACAGGGTTGCATTTTCGAAAAATGAATTTTTCGTATTAATAAATGCAAATGCAAATGCAAGTGCACTTTGATTGTATGTGTGCTTATATGACATTTGAATATCTTTGACAGGAATTACATTTTTAGATTTTGGGTTACCATATGTTATATTAAATTAAAGTTTTGGATCATCGGCCCAGTATACTCTTACAGTTTTTTCGGTTTAAGGTGCCTTTAGTAGGTTTTTTATATTTTATTAAACAATTATGAATTGCACACTAATTGGCTGTAATGAAAATACATATGTATCGTTCTCTCTCTCTCTCTCTCTCTCTCTCGCTCGCCTCTCCCTGTACAGCAAAAATTGAGCGACAACCAAACAAAATTAAAAATAAAAAGCCGAGAGACGAGGCAACAGCAAAAATAATTATAACTATGTATAACTCGAGTTCGGCATAGAATGTGGGCAAAACGCAAAACTTGTATGCGCCGCCTGTACTGTTCGCTCTTCGCTTCGGTTCGCTCGTTGCGCGCCCGCCTTAGCTTTCATTTTTTTCTCGTTTTGCTTGTGCCAGCCTTTTTCGCTTTATTTTGTACTTACGCTTTGCGATTCAATTCGTTTTTATTGGTTTTCCGCTTTAGGCGGTTGGAATTGAACGTAGCGTCGTCGTGCAAATCGTCAGAGGGGTGTGTATGGGGAAGCGGGGAGCGTTGTCGTTCAATGAATAATGAGAGGCACTGTAAGTGTGAGAGTGAGAGGTAGAAACCGCGTTCAGAAGAGCGAGAGCGGCAGCGAACGTTGTGTGAGCGGACAACGAAACAACAAATAAAGCAAAGCATAAAAGTGCACAAAGCAAGGAAGAAGAGACAAGGGCCAGGTCACACAGCAAAGAGACGACCGCTGGCCGAGAAACCAGTGAGAGAGGAAAAAAGAGAAGAAAATACAACTTCTTTTCATTTTTTCTTTTATTTTTATTTATTTATTTTTTTTGTTGGCATAACAGCCAAAAGCGAATTGAAGCAGAGAGCTTGAATATTTAGAAGACGGACAATGCACACGCACATACCGCAATATATATACCACACACATACGTACATGCATACACTTATACATATTACAATTAATTTGATTTATAAGAACGATATGAGTTTGGTGGAATATACATTGAATTTGTTTAGAAGTATGTATATATGAACATATGATATTTATTCTTTAATATTTACACAAGCTCTAATTTCAATCATGATAGCCCTGCCAATTGTCTGTCGCCCCCTGCCGATAATTGTGACGCAGCTTTCATCTGTATGTCTGAAAAAGCACGCACACACTCATGATCGTATGTCTATGTACACAACTGCCGTGTGTGTGTTTTTGCATATTGACTGCAAATAATTTTCACTTGATTTGCTTTTGCCTTCCCTGGTTTTTGGTCTTCGGTGCGCGTTAGCGGCAAACGTTAATAGTGGGAAGGGGGGTGCAACTGTACCGCGCGGTCCGTTTGATTATTTCGCGTAAACATAAACACAAAACAAACTGTTGCTCACCGCTGCTGTTATCGCTGCCTCTCTTTTTACAGGTGGCCCGAACGTAACGAAATACTGATTGAAAGTGCATTAAACGAGGCAGCCGGTTAACTGTGAAATTCATATAATATGTAAGTTCTGCTCCTGGTGAGACAGAAGGGCGGCAATTAAATTCACAGCGAAGTATTGCATAAGGTAAGTAAAGTAGGCGTTGCACATAGCAATGTAGGTGTATTTACCATGGTTTACTAATTGCATTCGAAGTATCTGCATTTTAATAGTGCAAAAGGTCACAAATTTACTATTTAAGTAATTAACTAAAATAAAACTAAGATAAGGAATATAATTTTAGGCGTAATACGAGTATGAGTAATTAATCTAAATTTGTTATTTCCAATTTTAAATTTAAGTCATATATTTATTTTCTTATATACAAGTATGAGTAATTAATCTAAATTTGTTATTTACAATTTTAAATTTAAGTCATATATTTATTTTCTTATATTTTTTTGTAGGTTCTTATTAGATTTTATTTTTTTTTTTTGCCGCACCGCCCATTTTTCCAGGGCCAGGCAGCAAAAACTGGAGTTACATACACTAATATATATACACATATATGTGTGTTTATGTATTACATACATATGTATGCATGTGTATATATTCCTACCTCACCACATAAAAAGTGGCGCCCTTTTTGTGTTACATGAACTCTCCCACTCCCTGCTCTTCTCTTACACATTTGTATTGTGTTTGTGTGTCGTCTGCTCGTCTGCTTAGCTGAATTATTTGCTGGGCCAGTAAAAACAATCAAATGGAAAGACGCAAAGAGCGAAGGAGCAAGAGAGAGAGTTAGTTAGAGTGAGAGAGCACAGCTTTGGGAGAGGGGAGGTTTTGCTGCTTAAGCGCTTACTACAGCTCAGGACCTATGCAAACAATGCGCTCTCCGCTACCCGCTATTTATCCAACCCCCACTCATGCGCGCGCGCTTCGTTTCTCTCTTTTTGCCGCTCACTTACTTAACCCCCCGCAGGCACCCATAGTTTTTCTTGCACACAGACACTCAAACACTTACGCTCCAAAGCGCGTTGTCTTTAATCGATTTGTACTTCTTGATATTTACATCAGCCACCTGCCTCCTCTCACACTTCACACACATACTCACACTCACACTCTGGCTCTCATACTCTCCATGCGCGCTCTCAACATTTCTATCAAATGCTTGCATTCTCTGATTGGATATCTAAATCCTGAATCCTGCTAAAATGAGGCATATCGACGGAGCCCACTTCACACCCATCAGTATCACCAGCTCCACTCCCTTTTCTCATTTCTTTGCATCCACACTTCGTTCTCTACGTATGCGAGTGTGTGTGTGTCTGTGTGTGTGCATGCGTATGTTTTACTTTTACAATTTATATAAAGTTATTTCATTGTGTGCACAGAAGAACGCTCCTTTTTGAGCTTTGCTACTCTTTACTTTGCTAATGGGTAATTTATATCATTTTATCATCACAAAATCAATAACTGGTCAACAGCATTTTTGAACATCTTCACACTTGGAGGAGATTTAGTGTCTGATGTAAATGGCTTTGCCTGTATGAGTGTGAGTGCGTGTGCGTCAAGATGTGTATGGGGCTCAACTGTACTTCCACGTCTCATTGAAGGGTTAACGTTCGCTAGTCATCAATGCACCAGCTAAATTTACAATAATATAAACAAACAATATTTAGCTAATAATACATATTTATTTTTCTGAATTATTTTCATTTTAAATCTTTTAATTAGAACTGAATAATTTACATAAATAAGAATAATTATAATTTATGCGTAGATATTTATCTTATATCAGCTTCACTGATCTCTAAAATATTTCTATACTTTCAGGTGAATGATCATAACTCTGCCTGCAAACGGGAAGTTCAAATATAAATATACCAGTACAAGTAGATGGGCATATATCCTAGAGCAACAGAAGATAAAGAATAAGCTACATGGTAATTTGGCCAAGCGCTCCTTCTCCTTTGATCCCCACATTTGTCCATTTTCAATAACTCGAGTCAACAAATTCCACTTGACTTTTTGTAGCCACGACGGCCAGCGAAAGCAGTCGACAGCAGCAACAACATCAACAACAACAATATGTAGGCTGCATCAACAACAGATTCAGGTGCAGCTACAACAACCATCACAACCACAATAACAACAAGCACAATTCAAGAAGCTGAAACAACCACCATCAACGAAACACGCAAAGAAACAAGATACAAAGCAAAAAATATAGATCCAACAAGAGAGAGAGGCAAAAAAAATTCCGGGTTGAGTCCACTCTAAATGCAGCACGTGAGCGCTGCCAGTTCGGCACCTTCGGTGGTTTCAGCACCGGTGGTGACCACTGGCGGTGGCACCACCATCACCTTGGGCGGACCGCCGCCATTGCCCGGCAACAAGTCAGATCATAAAGAGGACGGCAGCAAGCCGCCACACGGCATTGAAATGTATAAAGTGAACATTGAGGATATATCGCAGTTATTTACATACCACGAGGTATTTGGCAAAATCCACGGCGATGTGGTGAATCATGTGGCGGCGGTGCATGGCAGCCAGTTGCCACCGCCGCAATTGCCGCCACCACCACCATTACCACCGCAGACGACGCATTCGGCTAGCGCAGCTGCAGCTGCAGCGGCGGTGTCCACAAATAATGCAGCCGTCGCTGCTGTAATGGCATCGGCCAATGCAGCAGCCGCGGCTGCAGCGGCCGCATCGGCCGCGGCCACGGCCCAACAGCAACAACAGCAGCAACAGCAACAGCAAGCCCCAGCGACAAGCGCAAATGCTGGAACCACCCAGCAGGGCAGCGCCACGGTGACCACAACTAGCTCCTCCGGTAGCAACGGGGGGAATGGGGGCAACAACAATGCGACGACGACGACGACGGGTGAGTTGCTAATGCCGAAAATGGAGGGCGGCATCCATGGCGTTGATGGGCAATCGAGCGTTGCGTTGGCGCCAGATGGCACCCCTATAGCAACTGGGACGCATGTGTGCGATATTTGTGGCAAGATGTTCCAATTTCGCTATCAGCTAATTGTGCACCGTCGCTGCCACAGCGAGCGCAAGCCGTTTATGTGTCAGGTATGCGGTCAGGGTTTTACCACATCGCAGGATTTGACCAGGCATGGCAAGATCCATATTGGCGGCCCCATGTTCACATGCATTGTCTGCTTCAATGTGTTTGCCAATAATACGAGTCTGGAGCGCCATATGAAACGGCATTCAACGGACAAGCCATTCGCCTGCACCATTTGCCAAAAGACTTTCGCACGCAAAGAGCATCTGGACAATCATTTTCGTTCGCATACGGGCGAAACACCGTTCCGTTGCCAGTACTGCGCCAAGACGTTTACGCGCAAGGAGCACATGGTCAATCATGTGCGCAAACACACGGGTGAGACGCCACATCGTTGCGATATTTGTAAGAAGTCCTTCACGCGCAAGGAACACTATGTTAACCACTACATGTGGCACACTGGTGAGTGTGATTTGGTGACCGGGGGCGGACAATGCGAGCGGCGAGCGCCACGACCACAAAAAAATAAAAATAAAAAATATACAACTACCAGTTACCAATTACAAAAAAAAAAAAAAAAACAGAAAAAAAAAAAGTATAATTAATATTAAAAAAAAAAAAAAAAAAAAAAAATATTCATATCCAAATCAAATACCGATACCAAATCAAATTCCAGTAGAGTACAAAATCAACTACAGATAATCAACAGCCATCACATCACACCAACCAAATCAAAATCGATATCAATTGATCAATCAAATCAATCAAGAACCGCAACTCATCGTGCGTACTTCCTATCGTCTGTTTCCTTCCTTCCACTGTCTCTACACTGCTTGTGCTTCCTATAGAAAAGCCTACTTATATGTAGTCCTTCAGCTTCCCTGCATTTGTTCTCACAAACCTCACTCACACTCACACTCACAAAACAAACCTTTTTGCCTGCTTCCAAAAAGCACACTTAAGAGCTGCATAACTATCGATAGTATGCCTATGTTTTCCTTATCGATAACAGATATTTGTAACGATTTTTTATAGTCAAAATATCCTTTCAAAAGGTTTTAAGACATTCAATTTTTAGAAATTTTCAAATGCAGATGAGAAAAGTAACTAAATTTTATATTTTTCCAAATTATTGGTTTTGAAACACATCGATCATCGATAATTTATACAACTTTTGGTAAAAGAATACGAAAATATTAACGATATTTGCACGGCATGATAGTTCAATCAATTTCAGTTTCTTCAGCTTTCATATCATTCGTTATCAATCATTGCTGTCGATTGCTGTTAAGCTCAGTGCAACTTTGCAACTCGTGTCAATACTCGCTCATACCGCTCATAACAATCCTCCCCCCAAACCAACATCACACATACACACACACACACACTCTCATGATCACACTCACACTCATTCACTCATCAATCCAAATCTCTCCAGTCCAATCCCACTGCTGCAACCCATTGAGATCGTTATTCCGTTATTCCTTGCTCGTGTAGTTTCCCTGTGCTCCACTTCCTTGCTCTCCCCATTTTGTTAACGCTCTCTCGCTGTCGCTCTCTCTGTTTCTATCTCTCTGCTGTACAGGGTGCTTATAAATAAAGAACCGTTCGTTGTTGCTGCTTGTCGATTGCCAACGTCCTGTGCCTGTGCCTACGGCGTTAATTGTGCGACAGAAAACACACACACACTCAAACAAAGCTCTTTACACCTAGTGGGCTGAAGAGATTCCCATTTCAGTGAGACACTCACATACATGCATACACACACACGCATACACAGAGAGACACACACTTAGCTTAGGGATTTAGCTTGGCGTCGAACACGGCTTCACTCAGTAGACGAACTTAACGTTCACGCAGACATCAGCATCAGCATTGCTTTGAGTGGAAAGTGCCATTAGGGGTACTCACTATTTCAAATATAAAATAAATATATTTCATCTGCAGCTCTCATAGAGTGACAGGCCACACACGCACACAGTCACACTTGCTCACAAACAACACGCACACGCACACACATCAACAACATTCTCATACACACTCACATACGCATACGCAACAACAACCACGCCCACTGCCCACCGCCCATGCGCCACCCATTAAGCCGAGCCTCCGTTCGCTTCGTTCGAACCCAACGCAAGCCACGGCCAGTTTCACACACACATAGCGGTGCCGGGGGTTCCTTTCAAATATCTGATTTTACATATATATTTTTCATATCTTATATAAGTTTTTGATAATTTAATTTTTTGTTTTTTGTTTTTCTTATTTCTTTGGCGGGTTCATTTGAAATTATCAAGAATTACTTAGAGAATAATTCAAGAAAATGATCGCGTTAAATGAAGAAAAATGTTGAAAATGCTTGCGCTAACCAGAAAAAAAAACTCCCCACCCTATACTTTCTGTTCTCTGTTCTGTGTACCACCAATAAACAGGTCAAACACCGCATCAGTGCGATGTCTGCGGCAAGAAATACACGCGCAAGGAGCACCTAGCCAACCATATGCGCTCCCACACCAACGAGACGCCGTTCCGTTGCGAAATCTGCGGCAAGAGCTTTAGCCGCAAGGAGCACTTCACCAATCACATACTCTGGCATACAGGTAAAGAGACAAAACAGAACCAACAAACCAACCAAGAACCCAACGCATTACCTCGACCACAATATACACACATGAAAACATAAAAACTCGCCAAGCCAAGTCCAATAACTGCATAGCTCTAGTAGTGCCCGTTCGGGGTCTAATGGACCCTGGAGAGCGGCATCCAGGCCCACAACCCAATACACAATCACAAAAACACACGCGCGTTTGGAGCACGAGCAGCGATAACGAACTTTAAGGAATGCGATTTAACATATATTAATTAAAAGTCAATTTAAATAATATATGTGATTATGGATTGATCTATTTATGTCATAGAAGTTTAGCTTAACACTTTGATATATTAGTGAAAATTGCTAAAATGCTATGGGATCATCATGTGATCAATATTTCATAATGTCATAAGATGAAGACTAGACGAATTTAAAGTCATATTTATCGAAGCTTTCACTGAATGTAAATTGTTTATAGAATTGTATATTTGATTCTCATATAAGAATATAAAGTTGAATTATTATTTAATGAGAAATCAGCTATCTAATAATACTATTCACAATTACCTTATTCAAATGATTATTATTATAATTATATTAATTTATGTCAATCAATATAATGAGGAATTTTAGTTCTCATTTAAATAAGAAAATAATTCTATGTGAAGTGATTGAAGCTTTAAATTGATGCTAAGGTCAATATTATAGATCCATTCATTGACTATTTAAAATAGTTGTTTTTATTGCTATATAATTTATTCATAAAATAAGATGTTATTTCCGTTAATTATAAATTTCAAGACAATAATTTAAGTTTGTAGACTCATAGCAATTCAAACGAATAATTTCATTTCCAACATTTGATCTATGTCAATTCAGTATTTAGCTGCAAAATAATTCAACTTGAATTTGATTAAATTAATGTAATTAATTGTTGGCTGGCTCTAATAACTTGAAATTCTCGCATTCAATTGAATGCATTGACTGCATTGTAATTGTTTATAGTATAATATATATGGTCATAGTATATCATATATAACCAACGATATGTAGATGATACGCATTGCCATTCGCGCACTCTAAAACTGATACGACAGCTAAGCTCAGACCCAGACACTGCTTTATAAACAAACAAACTGATATAGGATAGCACATATGTATATATTATTGATTTGATGTATGTGTAAATATGAGCAATTGAACAATGACATGCCTACGTGGACAGCAAACTGAAACGAGAATACACTGTGATTGCATAATTGTGGAATGCTTGTGAATGAATGATTTCTAATCTGTAATGTTATTGTACGATTCTTACCTTTTACCACGCAAGCAGGTGAGACGCCACATCGGTGCGATTTCTGCTCCAAGACGTTTACGCGCAAGGAGCATTTGTTAAATCATGTGCGGCAGCACACGGGAGAGTCGCCGCATCGCTGCTCCTACTGCATGAAGACGTTCACGCGCAAGGAGCATCTGGTGAATCATATACGCCAGCACACGGGTGAGACACCGTTCAAGTGCACGTACTGCACGAAAGCGTTCACACGCAAAGATCACATGGTTAATCATGTACGGCAACATACAGGCGAATCGCCGCACAAGTGCACATACTGCACCAAGACGTTTACGCGCAAGGAGCATTTGACGAATCATGTGCGCCAGCACACGGGCGATTCGCCGCATCGTTGCAGCTACTGCAAGAAGACCTTCACCCGCAAGGAACACTTGACGAATCATGTGCGCCTGCACACTGGAGATTCGCCGCACAAATGCGAATACTGCCAGAAGACGTTCACGCGCAAGGAGCATCTCAATAATCATATGCGCCAGCATTCTAGCGACAATCCCCACTGCTGCAACGTGTGCAACAAGCCCTTCACACGCAAGGAGCACTTGATCAATCATATGTCGCGCTGTCACACCGGCGATCGTCCATTCACCTGCGAGACGTGCGGCAAATCGTTCCCCCTCAAGGGCAACCTCCTCTTCCATCAGCGCAGCCACACCAAGGGCCAGGAGTGCGAGCGTCCATTCGCTTGCGAGAAGTGCCCCAAGAATTTCATATGCAAAGGTGAGTTGGCCCATGTGCAGCAGAGTGTAGCACGCGAGACGTGGCGTCAGCATAGTAGTCATCCCAATCCAGCCGCAAATCTGCTAATGAATCAACCAACGAACCAAACCATCAATTCCCCTCCTTAACCACAGTGCAGCGAATAGTTGTTGTTAGGCATAAATCGATTTTATTTTTCTCATTAAATTAGAAAATTTTTATTTATTTTTTAAAATTAATTTTAAATATTTTGAATTTTTTATATTTAAATATATGAAGTATCTATTTTTCCTATAATTTAAATTTTATAATTTTTATTTACTTATTTTATATTGACTCATAATTCAATTTTAACTGAATCTGAATTCAATAATATTCGCTGCACTGTGCAACTGGTTGAGTTGTTCCCTGACCCGCTTTTTAACCTTAATTAAATCAAAGAGAATGAAGTAAGATAACGCACGCCCGCCCGCCCGCTCGCTCACCTGGGCTTTGGTTCGGAATGGCTGTGACTTGTCAGCTGCTGCCCAAGTCGAATATGCCGCCGACGTCCTTGGTTTTATGTTTGTCGAAATTCGATCTACCCTTGTCGGCAGAGATATCTTCATGTCGCTTCCATTGTCCGTTTCGCAGGTCACTTGGTCTCGCACATGCGCTCCCATTCGGGCGAGAAACCGCACGCGTGCACACTGTGCAGCAAGGCTTTCGTCGAGCGCGGCAATTTGAAGCGCCACATGAAGATGAATCACCCGGATGCTATGATGCCGCCACCACCCGTGCATCCGCATCCGCAAATACCGGCTGGTGTGCTGACCCAAGTCAAGCAGGAAGTGAAACCGATCATAAGTGAGTCGGACACAGAACACACGACAGCCAGACACGCCCCACGACCGTGTCTGTCTACGTCCAGTTCATTTACCCAACTGACCGCCTCTTCCCCCTTTGCAGTTCCCCATCATTCGGCGACGACCACAATGCACACCATACAGCAGATAACAGCGGGCGCTGCAGCGGCTGGCGCTGGTGCCGTCCAGCTGACGCCCGGCCTGGTGCCGCTCGTCACCAGCACGCTCATCTCCCATAATGCCCAGCAGTCGCAGAAGCAGCAGCAGCAGGTGGCTGCTGCAGTTGCTGCCCAGCAGCAGGCGGCAGCAGCAGCCGCTGCACAGCAACAGGCAGCCGCGGCGGCACAGCAGCAAGCGGCGGCGGCAGCAGCACACCAGCAGCATCAGCAACAGGTGGCCGCACAGCAGCAACAACAACAGCAGCAGGCAGCAGTTGCTGCACACCAGCAGCAGCAACAGCAACTGCAGCAGCAACAATTGTTGCAATTGTCCATACAGCAGGCGGCGCATCATCACCAGCAGCAACAGCAGCATCAACAGCAACAACAACAGCAGCAGCAGCAGCAACAACAACAGCAGCAACAGCAGCAACATCATCCACAGCAACAAGCGCATCCACAAGCGCCGCCACAGCAGCAGCAACAGCAACAGCCACCACCGCAGGTTCCCATTGCATTGATAAGTGATCCAAGCGCGCTGGCTCGTGCCGCCATGCAGTTGCAGCATCTGCCAACAAACGTGGAGCAGCATCCGGTGGTTTACTAACAGTAGCCCCTCCTGCCTGGCTACCCGACGACAGCGGCGGCCCCAACAACAGCCACAACACAATGGTGAAGCACACAAAATCCGGCGGCCAATCGAAGCAACTGAAGGCAACAACAGCTATAACAGCATACAGCATACAGCACAGCAAGATCCCTCACATCCACATAAGCAGCTAGTTATATATGTATATGTATATACATGTATACATTTATAGTTTATAGTTTCGCGCGCTGGTTACGCCTTGAACCCGATAGAATGTCTCTCTATCTATATTCAACTCTCTGATCAGGCGCCCGCTTGCGCAACGTGCAATACAAGAAAAACAAACATCTCATAGTTTCCCGTCATTGTTCTCTAACCGATCTTGGTAGGCGCTTAGCGTCTATATATATGATAAATACTTCTCACGTCCCTGTTACATTTATGAAATGTACGCGTAACAAAGGCACTGAATATGGCCGTTAGCTGTGCTACCGGCCAAGTTAATGAGAGAGTTCTTCAATGGGTTCAACAAGCTGTAATCAGTTTTTAATAATCGTTCACGATGTGCAAATGAAATATTGGCTTTGTGCAATAACTCCGTCTTATTGAAAAATGAAATTTATGATATGTATTCGTATATACCAAACCCAGATAAAACAAATGTGAATCCTATACGAAGTTACCACTGGAATTCAAGCAAATCGGGAACCCTAAATATTTCACAGTTACAGAGCAAGGATTACTAAGTTTTGCAGGCGAATCACTGTTAACCTTTCCTAATAATGGCCTATGAAATATGTGGTTCGCCCATCCCATTTCAACAAAACTGCTTTTGATCGTGAACGAGTATTATTCAGTCGGTTGCGCTCGGCTGCAATGATTTGAATTGTTTATTTTTTTATTATTATTTTATATTATGGCGCATGTATTTCTTATATTATTTCTCATTAAGTTATGCATAGGAAGTGAGAGAGACAGACATACACACATACTTACATGGCATCCTCATAACAGTACACTATTCATGAATATATAAATTATACATACTTTGTATATAAAACTGCAGCAAAACTTTGAGAAATCGCCGGAACATTTTGTATTATTTTGTGCATTTTGTAAAGCAAAGTATGTTACGAAACAACCCGCTTAAACAGTTATGCATACACATATATTATAAACTACACAAATATTATACTATATATATATCAGCGCCCAGTTAATATAGAACACACCTCACCCTCTTAACCTTCAGCCCGATTAGAGTTTAAGTCCGACAAATTGTTGCCTATGGATGATAAACCTTTGTTATATACATATAGGGCAAGGCGTATTAAATCAGTTAACTAACACGATAGTTGAGGTGGAGAAGGGGAGAAGATGAAGCTTAGGCTAAGTCAAAAGTAAAAGAAAAAGAAAGAACTAACAAGAAGTTGAGAAACACAAGATGAAAAGAATTATATATTATTATTATATTTAATGTTAGTTGAACTACTAAGATGAATTAAGATTGATGATAATGATGACGAGACAAGTGAGCGAAAGTGAATTAGTTATTAGTTATTACATCTACGAAATGTGTGTGTAGAAGATGATTAGCGCACGCGCTATACGATTATGATTATGATTATGATTACGATAATATGACAAAGAGAAGAGCGAGAGAGAGAGAGAAAGAAAAGCAAAGTATGAAGTTATAACCTACTCCCAATACATTACACTACACTACACACTATTAAAAGTTAACAAACAATAAATAATAATAATAATTATAATAAAGCTAGGCACAACTCTACAATTAATTATTAATAACAATTACTGTGCTTATGTTGAAAACAGCAACAAGATATATACAAGAAGCAAAGCCCCAAGCGCCACAAGCAACAACATATCTGCTTTAAATTTTACAAACAAACATAAAAATACAAAAAAATTAAATTAAAGATAAAACTAAAAAACAAAACAAAAAAAAAACATATACTATTATTAGATGAGTCAAGTTTATTCATTTTAAAACAAACACACACACTCTCACACACACATAATGCTTCCTTTGAAATGCAACATTTTATTAATTTAATATTTTAATTATACACTTTAATTTAAATTAACCAGAAAAAAACTGTACATGTACACAAATAAAACAATATACACAAAAATAAAAATAGTTTTTTTTGTTCAACATTGAAATATTGATAAAAATTCAGTTAATATTTTTAATTATTAATACATTTATTGGCAGCGAAAAAAGTCGAAAAACAAAAAATAAAATAAAGATAAAAAATATTTACTAAAAATGCAGGGAACAATTAAAAATTGTAAAAAAGAAAAACAAAAATGGAATAAAAAACAAATGTGCGCATAAAGTTTAATTGTTTATAAACATTTATGCGAAGTTTTCAAAGAAAAATCAATCCGATCATTTTGTTAAACTTCGCATAATTGTTAAAAACACACACACACACACATATACACATACAGACAGACAGACACAAGCAAACATATTATATTTATGTAGTTGTTTTTAGCCGTGTTAGTTTTTGGTGTTTTTAAAATAGATTGGTGATGTGTATAATAGAGCGCCGTATATAGAAAGCATATAGAGTATATATATATATATATATATATATATATATATATAACAAAAATATATATATTATACGATTATTAACTAATATATTAACTGATCAACTGTATCTGTAGAATGCGAATGGCAATTTTTAATTAACAAATTCAAATTGTGTTGCAATATTTAACAAAGCGAACATTTAATTTGTAAGTTGGATAATGCATTAATCAAACATAATTTAGTACATAATAACTGTGAATGATTATTATCATTCGGATTCTGATTGCGATTACGATTGTTGTCAACAATAAGCTGCTGAAGTCGAAAAATGTTTCCTAAAACGCAGCCAATTAAAAGTAAAAGTAAAATTAATAGTAAAAGCAAAAGCAAACGCAAATAAATTTAATGAAATGCAACAACAACAAATGAAAACATAAATCAGTAACAATACTAAGTAAATAGAAACAATAATGTACTATAATGCAGATACAATATATACACACTATATATACCTACAATATATGCCTATACCGACAAATGAAATTGAATGAATGAATAATTAATAATAATGCGTACATTATACATACAACATAGAATCTATATATATATATATTGTAAAAGTTAAATGTAACTAAATACATACAAATCGATGACGTAGTAAGCACCAAACAACAAATAAACGAAAGAAAAAAAAAATAAAATAAAAAATAAAAAATAAGCAACGCGCAGCATAAGCTATATTAAAAAAACTTGTTCAACATTTTTTTGTTTTAGCACAAAATTTTATTCAACTGTATGCAATTTAATGCCCTTTTAGATGCCTACGTTATTTTCTAGAATTAACTTTCATATGTTTAATAATAATGAGTTGTTTATTTTTTATTTCCCAATTTCATTTATTCACAATAATTCAAATTTTTAAATATTATTCACTAAAGTAGAGTATAGACTTATAAGTTGTTTTTTACCTTTGCTAACTTATTTTCATCTTTATTCAGCTTTTTAATTTCATTAAAATCGATAATGAGCTTCATTTGATATTAAACATTCCAGTGTGGTAAGTGATCAAGGCTCTGTTAACTATAAACAGGCTTTCATCTGCACAAAGCCTTTTTCAGTTGGTCAACTCTGTTAAAATCATGAAATGTTAAATTAACATATGTAAATATAATTTATAAGTGGCGCACTTTTCAGAAAGCACTGCCAGCATAAATCTAACATTACAGACATTGAAGAAAAACACCCTGTATATTACCGTTCAGTGCAAACGCTGCAATTGGTTGTTTAACTATCGCGCAGCCATCGCCGAGAATCATCGGTTTGCTCATGTGCCATCGCTAAGTAGAGAAGCTATTATAGGTAAGTTAGGTAGGTGGGCTGTTCTGCCTGTAAAACCACCCTTAAAGTGGGTACATTTTAGGTAGCTCTATGGAAGCATGGACCCTGGACAGCTGGTTAGGCTGCATTTGTTTGGCAGTGTCTAAAATGCGCTGCGCCTGCCAACAACAGGACCTGGAATTCAAGCTCAGACAGTCCACAAATGACCACAACAGGAGAAACAGGTAAGTGCGATTTTCATTGTGAATGCCATTGCCAATGTCAATTGCTGTGTTTCGTCTCCAGAGCCCCGGCCACGATCTAGCTCGCTGCTGCAGCTGAACGATGATGTGCTGGCCCTGATAGTGGCTCAGCTGAGCGTGTATCAGCAGTTCGAGCTAAGCCAGTTGCACAGTCGCCTGCGGAGCATTGTCCAGGCGCTGTGGCGTACGCGCGTGCGCAACGTGGCGCTGCAGGACGAACTGCTGGGCCGTGCATCTTCGCGACAGTTCCAGGCCTTTATGCTGGCCCTGGCACCGCATCTGGAGCGGCTCAGCTGCCACCAGCTGGATGTGCGCCGGCTGCGTTTGCTGAGTGACCACTGTCTGCCACATGTGATTAGTCTCGAGTGGCTGGGCGTTGCTCAGCAGCCGCGACGTGGACGCGTCCGCTTCGTGGACGAGGATGTGCGGCTGCTGAAGCGCGTGTTTCCATCGCTGCGCAAGCTGAAGCTGCGCGGCTGCCAGGTGACGGGCAAGTATCTGCACGAGCTGGAGCTGCTGACCGAACTGTGCCTGGACGACTGCCAGTATCTGGAGTCGCAGTACTTTCGCGACATCTTTCGGCTGCTGAAGCTGCGCAAGTTCGACATCATGGAGGACTGCGACGAGGTCAACTGCTGTGATTTAGTGGACGTGCAGCTCTGTCCCACTCTCGAGCACATCAAGATCGCCGACTACCATCTGTGCATGGAGTCGGACATCACACAGCAGTTGCTGCGCTTGCCGCACCTAAGCAAGCTGTCCATCTACTCCAAGAACTTTGTCTTCGATGTGCTGGAGCGCATAGCGCGACCCAGCAATGCCGCAGCTGCTGGCATCAAGCAGATCGAAGGCTTCCGCTTCAGTGGACTCCTGCACGACTACGGACGACTCTTTCGCGAGCTGAGCCATCTGCGCCACCTGCGCCGACTGGAGGTGCACGGCCAGTCGGAGGAGGGACAGCTGCAGTGCCTCAGCGACCAAGCGCTGTGCCAACTGGCGGCCCAGCTCCCCGAGCTCAGCGAGCTGCATCTCTGCGGCTACCAGCTGGAGAGTCCAGCGGGTATTTTGCAATTTGTGATCAACTGTCGCCAGCTGCGCATCTTGGACATGACGAGATCGCGCTGCATTGGCAACGCCTTCGTCGGACGCTGCCAGGCGGTGCTGGCCAAGCAAAGCTGGCGCACTCAGCCACTGGAATTGTGGATCAGACAGAGTGACATTGTGCTTAACCTGCTGCAGGTAAGCGTTCACATTAATATTTAATTGATTCTTCAATAATTTACTCATTTATTTGCTTTGCAGAACTTCCGCTATTTGAGAATCGATACCAAACGAATGACCCCCAACATGGATTATATGTCAAGTGTGCTTAAGTTTAGCTTTGTAAGATAGTGATTGATTACCTGTTCCAACTGTGCCTGAGTCTACGGAAATACACGTACATGCATGTCTTTCTGTTTATAATTATTAATACGAAAATTGAATTGAAGACTGAAACATGCATTTTTAATTACAATTTCATCATATAGCTGAGTGGCTAATGTGCTACGATTTCTGAAAGATTATAATATATTTATAGGAAATATTGAATAGCTCCTTATCAGTGTGGGCAGCTTGACGGCAGCATAAAATACGTATTGCCATTAGAGCCGTTTTAACTTGGAAGTCCGGGTTGATGCCTACGTTTAGTTATTGGGCATGGCCCGCCTCCTGTAAACAGAGCGCCTTTCTCTTTCCTCGATGCTCAGAGAGTTGATTCCACGTACTCCCGGGAGCAATCTATTGTTAACCACTAATTTCATACTTATTGATTAGAGGTTCTTCATCAAGATTTTAAATAAGCATAAACAATTGTTCATGGTACGATTGGCTCTGAGCTCCTTTGTAATTTATTCAAAATAGTTTATGTGCTTTCCTTTCCACAGTTAGATATTGTTAGTTGAGTTAGATTTTGATACTCATTATGTTTAAGTAATCCATACGTTGACAGTTATCAGTTAACATACATAAAGTTATTATTATTATATTATTATATTATATTACTTATGCCTACAGCATTTATTACTTACATACACATAACTATATGTGTATGTGTATATGATGGTATAAGTTGAAAGTTGTTGTTCTGTATTTGTGTTTGTATTTGTATAATCTGTACCTCTAGTAATGGTTTTATCAGATCAACGCCATCGGGCATTGCGTCCAAGCGATTGGAACGCGCTTCTTATCAGTGAACGAGTGAACGCACAAAAAAAAAAAAAAAAAAAAAAAAAAAAAGCAAGAAAATAAACAGGAATAAAATAACATTGGAAAACACGAAATTTTGTTATGTTTAGTTAATGCCACGCCCAGACGAACTCGACTGCCCGATTGCCCAGTTTGCCCGGCCAGCGCTGTTAGGTGATAACGCGCCTCGAGTGGAGCGGTGCAATTGCCATGTTGCTCCCAATTCGGGAAATGCTTTCGGCAGTGGCTAAATCATTAAAAGATAACCCTTGCCAAGATTATGGAACTGTCCCAATCAAGCTGTTCATTAACACAGCACTAAGTACAGAGTGCACAAACATACAAATAAAATGTAAATGTAAAAAAAAAAAAGAAAAATAATAATAATAATTTCATATGTTCAGTACACTGATCAAAATTGTGTATAGTCCCCAAGCGGAGCCATTGACCGTTCCATGATATCAATAAAAAGGGGCTACCATTGGGGTTGAACTCTCGATCCGATAGCAATGCATCGTCTCCTCAAAAGTAGGCAACACTTATTTCGCTCAGTGCATCAACAACGACTGTATAGATGTGGGAATACAGTATCAATTCGTGCCTCGCGATCACTGTTGCCTCCTCCGCTGCATAGTCACTCTCTCTCACTTATTTCGTTTAATGTCTTTAGTCTTTTTTCCGACAAGTACTAATATTGGACCTGGCTCCTTCAAGTCGTCAGTCGTTATCAAGTCGGCATTTAGCGCGCATCGCACCTCAACTCGATCGGGCAACGCAACGCAGTGCCAACTTGTAGGACTCGAAAAAAGTACAACTAAAAGAAAAGTGTCGATGTCAATGGAATTGTAACTTGATCAGCGTGAAGCGCGCTTCTTATCAGAGCTGTACTACGACGATAACCCAAATGGACCTTTGAGACTATTCTCAGCCACAGCAGACAACAGAAGACAACTGAAAATACCTTGCGCTTGTCTCTACTGAAAACGTGATTCATACTTATAAAACTAAAAATTTCGAAGGGTAAGTCAGCATATACCCAGGAACACCCAGGAATAATGCCTAAGCACTAATTTATTTTGATTGCTGCATAAATAGTTAGACGCATTTATATTATTTATAGTATTATATATGAATATTATATTGATCATAGACATTTTGAATTCACCTCAACCTTAACTTACCTTTAGACTCTTTCAAATATTTTAAGATCTTCCTGTGGTATGAGATAAATAATATTTAGACTAATGAGAGGAAAGACTAATATATTATTCAATTAGGTTAAAATTACCATAGAAAATTATGCGAAATAAATTAAAAAGTGAACACCTTTCATTTACGTAGACATTAAAAATGAAAACAAACTGGAAATTTATTTTTCTTAATTGACAGATAATAATATATGTTTAATGCTCAAAAGCAATTTTAATGTATTTAATAAGTATTCTGTGTATCAATTTAAACTAAATACATTTCTAATTAATGTGGTAGTTAGCAAAAGGTTATATATGAGATATGAACCAACAAAGGTGAAATTGAAATATACATATATAAATACTGTTTATATACGTAAGTTGTAAGAACCTGCTTAAAATATAACTAATTTTAAGTACGTGCAAATATTTTGCATATCTAACTAGAATCAACTAAGAGATAACCCATGATTAAAGTGATTAACTAATCAGAGATACATTTTGAACTTTATATTGACCATAAAAAATGTAATAGTAGAATATTTTATCATATCAATTTGAGAAGTAGTCCAATAAAATATTCTTAACCCACGTCCCCTACGACAGAAACCTAATTTTAGACTCATTACAGAGCCGACTATCGTGAAGCGAGGGTCATGATGGGAAAAAATCGCATTGCATTGACCAGCCTGGTGGGCTTACTGCTCGCCACCTTGGGTCTAATATCTATTCTAAATTTCGAGCGCATACAGCGACGCACCTTAGAGTGGGTAAGTCTAAAGCGTGCTATAATGGTACATTTACATGGGCTAGCATTCAGGACCTCCTAATTGTCCACAGTTTATGGTGCTCAGGCCCAACTCGATGCTAATCAATCTGTGGCAGACGCCCAGCTTGGGCATGACGGCTAATGTTTTCATTTTTAACTGGACAAACTCGGAACAGTTCAACAATCCCAATGTCAAGCCGCGCTTTGAGGAGCTGGGACCGTACGTCTTTAGGGAGAGACAGGAGAAACTGAATGTCGTCTGGCATCCAGAGAACTACACAGTGTCCTATATGCGCCGCAGTCACTTCTACTTTGACCAGGAGGCGAGTGCACGAAATCTCACGGACTCCATTGTGGCCCCAAATACGTTGAGCGTGGGGCTACTCAACAAGATGCAGAATTGGAACCCGATGCTGCGCACACTGATGTTAATGGCGATCAACATGAATGGCAATGAGCCGACCTTTGTGAGGCCAGCCGATGATTGGCTCTTTAGTGGCTTCGATACTCCGCTGATCAAGATTAGCAAAATGATGCCCACTCGCATGGTGCCGGAGTTACACTTCCCATACGAGCGCATTGGCTATGGCTATCCGGTAAGATGAACCTCAAAGGCTTCCAATGGCATACATGAAGACTAAGGCTCTCACTTACCCATTGCAGCGCAACGACAGTGAACAGATCTATGGGCATCACAATGTCTACACTGGTCAGGACGACTTCAGCAAGCTGGGTCAAATAGCGCGCTGGCGCTACGATAATGTAACAGCAGGTCAGCCCGATTGCAAACTAAGTGGCAGTATGGGGGAATTCCATCCCATTCCGCTGCGACAAGGCAGGCCGATCTCATACTTCGTACCCGACATCTGTCGAGAGCTGATATTGGACTATGCGGGCACGACTCTCTTTGAGGGCATTCCGGCATTCGTTTACAAGGGCACTCCACGGAATATGGCAAACGGTGAGTCGGTTCTCTAGAAACTCTATATATAATATTTACATTCTCAATTTGTAGGCACCGATAATCCTGATCACAGCTGCTACTGCACGGGCAACTGCAAAGAGGTGCGATCTGGCGTACTGAATTTGTCCGCCTGCTGGTATGATGTGCCTATATTTGTCTCCTTTCCACATTTCTATAATGCCGATCCGTACTACGTTGATGGAGTGGAGGGCATGAAGCCCGACAAGGATCGTCATGAGATGAGCGTCATACTGGAGCCCACAACTGGGATGCTGTTGGACATCAAAGCGCGACTTATGATCAGTCTACTGGTGGAGCCTCGTCCAGGATCGTAAGTGTTTCTGATCATTTCCATATGAAATAAAACATCTTAAAGCTCCTCATATTGCAGCATCTTCCGAAAGTCCCGTCGCACTTTCTTTCCACTCGTTTGGGTTGACTATAGGGTCCGCATCACGCCCGATCTGCTAGTCTATCTAAATCTCCTACCTATTTCTGCGCTGATGGGTAAGATCTGTAGCTGCATTGCTGTCGGATTGGGCCTCGTACTATTACTATGGTATCCGCGACAGATCATTTTGCATAAGCACTTTATGCGTAAGATCGATATAGCTAACTTGGAAAGCCGAATGCAGGCCCCGACAACTGGAGATCTTAAGACCCAAGGAGTTGAGGATTCTCCTCTACTCGTGGGGTTGCAGTTTGTGCCGTCGTCCGGTGATGCGTAGATCTTTACAGGTTTATTAAATATAATGTAATGTGATAGGGTTACAGTTATAGGGTTTACACAATTTTAGTCTAAATATAAGGGTTAGAGCCGTAGATATTTTACGGTGCTCTATAATGAAGCTAATAAAATATAATATGCATTTTTCTATCGCTCTCCCTCTCTCTCTCTCTCTCTCTCTCTCGGTTGTCTGTGTGTGTGCTGCATTTGTAGGCAGCTGGGCTCACCTACTATTTCAATTCATTTTCACCGATAAACCAAATCAGTGCAGTGCACAAAGCGCTATGCAATTGCTCTAGAAGCGCCCGCTGACCCAGCGCCCCTCATTCTCCTTCCCGTTCCCATACTCGTTCCCGTTCCCGTTCCCGTTTCCGTTCCTCTCTTCAGTTTTGAGATCTAATGAACATTTACCATGGCGCCTCTGCAGTGTTGTGAGACCCCATTTTATGGCCCCTTGAATATCCTTTTTCGGGACATTTCGTTCATTTGTTGTTGCTGCCTGCATTGCCTTTGTGTTCAATTTAATTGGCCCTGTGCTTTTTGGCCATGGCTGAGAGGCTTCAATTGATTTCGTTTTCGTTTGAATTTTCAGAACTCATCAATTGAAGCTCACGAAGACACAAAATCTTAATTAAAACTTTGCCCAACTTTCAACTTTTGCCGTATAAATAGCATAAAGCAGCTAATAATAATAAATATAATGATAATAATAATAATTCAAACAATTTTATTTCTATTTACCAACTGCTAAAATTCGACTTTTTTAGATGGGCGGCAGCAGAGTAAATCATCTCGAATTTAAATATTTTGAAATAGATAAAGCTATATATTATGTATGAAGAAGTCGACAAAACAAAGCAAAGTAAATACAATTTTTTTCTATTTCGAACTCAGGTAATAAATATTAAAGTTTTTCAATAAAATACAGAAAAGTTTACAAATCATTCTTATATATCTGAAATCAATTTATGTATTTTATAGATTGTGTAATTTTTTTGCAGTCGATTACTTATTTGTAACCCATATTATGTGAATTGAATCACACAAAGGCAAAGTTGAATAATCGCTGGTTTAAAATTTAATTATTTCACTCTATCCTCTCTTTCCCTCGCTCTTTTTCTGTTGAATTAATTCAACGTTTAAAGTTAAGTTGTGGGTATGGAATTACTTGGGCACTGATCGATTTTATACTATCGAAACGAACTGCAGGCTGTACAATAAAACTTACCACGTGAAAAGCAACTCGCCTTGTTTACTGATAAGCGCTTTAAATAAAAAAAGTATTTAACGAACTTGAGTATGCGCCGAGATAAATACACATACCTAAGCGTTTTTTCATTTTGTGGCAGAAATCCGTTAAATAAAATCGAATTCTGACCGTTTCATGTCGATATTGTGCATATTCATAGTAATATAACCGTTTCAAAAACATGGAACCGGTTTTGTCATGGGTGGGCAACGAGCATGGCCAGAGAGCAATAGAGATGGAAAGAGATAAGTGAGAGAGCGACAGCTCTTGAACAATGCGTATGCTCTGTTGCTGCTTACACGCTCATTTGTGATGCATACCCTGTCTTATTATAAAATATCATAACAATTTTGTAACACATGTGTATTTGTGTAAGAGCCACTTGTCTTGTATTTGTGTAAATAAGAAACAATTAATTAATTTCACATTTCCATAATATAACTCATATACAAACATTTACAGTAGTTTGTTAGCTTTTTTACAGAAAAATTTAATTTGGTGAATTATAATCTTAATGAATGTAGAGTATTATGAAGTCGACCAGCATATGATTTTTTGTATATTTGCTTTAATGAGAAATATATGTATAATTGCTGCTTGGTGGCAATTCGAAAACAAAAAATAGTTTCAGTCACAGAACAGGCACGGTGCCGATCAGACACGAATGTTAGCGACGCGTGGCTTTTTGGCCGAGCTCAAGATCAAGTTAACGGTGCGGCGTTGTCTAGTGATTAAAAGTGATGCGAGCGAGTGAGACGGAAATATGCAAGAAATAGACGCCGCAATGCAAACAGAAGAGACATAGAGCAAAACAGTCAGAGCGCATTTGAAGAATCGTTTTAATCGTAATAAATATTTATACTTGTGTAATTTGAATTGAATTCAATTAAAAAGTATTTGAAAACGAAAGCAAAGTAAACGATTGAAAAATGGCATGCGATTCAAACAAAAAGAAGAGGAAGCAGTAGAAGTGACAACTGCAATAAGTGATCAAATAATAGTTGCATAGGCAAAAAATATATCGCCTTTAGAGCTAAAACGTAAGAAATGAAATCCCTACGCTATACTACGTGTTGTTTTTGTCGAGAGCCAGTGAGAGTGAGCAAGTGAGCAAGTGAGTGAGTGAGTGAGCGAGTGCGTGAGTGCGTGCGTGTGTGTGAGTGCCAGTATTTTGTGAGAGAGCACAAAGCGCGAGCGCGAGAGCCTTAATGGCAGAGCGTTGAACAGACATTCCTTATTATCACGATTATAAAGTATAACACATATACTATGTACCTTTTATTTGTTGTTTTTTGCTAATACATTGTTGGAGTTGTGTTTTGCAACCGAAGTCATGACGCATCGTTTGTGAGTTTTTGGATTAATAATACAAATTATAAATACAAATACAGATACACGCTGAGGGAACATACAATGTGTATATACATATATATTCATATACATATGCATATGTATGTTTAACTTATGTTCATTTTGGCACATTGCACTGTTGTTTCGTCTATTTATAGGTATTTTATAGCAACAAGAACAGCAAATAAAGCATATGAGTAAACATAGCCAAACCGCATAACATGTCAACAGGTTGCGGAAGTGACGTGCACATCGGCTCAAGGATACCTGTGCAAGTAAATCATTTTATTCAAAGCCTACTAAAACTGTTAACAATGATCGTTGCTTTTTTTTAACTGCCCTAACCCAGCAACAGCGCGAGCCAACATTTTTTTTTTCTGTCCATGAATAAGTGTTAGGTTCGCGTGATTATTATGTGTATGTATTATGTGTATGTACATATGTATGTATGTATATGTACGTATATTTTTTCTGTAGCTACAAGTGAGTTTGCACTATGTTAAAAAGTCCATAATCTGTGTAAATAACGCGTAAAGTAATCAGAGCGCATAGCAAAAAGAGGCAGGCGTAGGCGGTGCTGCGAAGCGCGGGGCGTTAACGGAGTGCAGCAGTTGGTGCAGATAGGGGAAAACGGGTTTTCTCAATGTTTATTTAACCTTGCTACGTGCATCAATAACAAATGAACGCACGTACATACATATGCACATAGGTATGTATGCATATGTGTACATATAGGCATAGGAATGTTCAAAAACGTTATTGCTTCATCATGGCAAAAATGGCCCAAACCAAAATGACTTACTTGTGTCTCCGACGCCCACCGTCAATCGAACCGGTTAAGAGCGCTACCGCGAATAGTAAAATCATTGAAACTTTCTATAATGTTATGAATTGTAAGTTATTTTTGTTCGGGTTCTCGTCTAGCTATTTATTACTTGCGATCGCATTGTCACATACTATGTACAACATTTGTTGGCAAGTAGACATAGTAAGATTTATATTTACGGCGCAGTAAAGCTTAATGGTGTTGCTCTATGGCGCGTCATCCGCTTAATTTTGATATCGCCTCTCTTAGGCATTGCTCTCTTTGGCCGCTCAAAATTCCTAGAAGAGCCTTTGCCGCTTTCGATAACAATAACGATAAGCCGTAGCTCGCTTAAATGCGAACTCGCACACATGCACACGAATACTAACATGGACTTTAACATTCTCTTTATTTTGTTTTTGTTTTGCTTTTTTTTTTTTTTGCTTATCTGTATGTGCAGGCAGCGTCAACGACTCCGGCGGCGAGAAATCACAAGCGCTTAGCTTCAGTGCAGCGCAGCAAGAGCAAGAGAACAGGTGTAAAGAAGGCAACGAGAGTTGCCTGCAAAACAACAACAAAAGCAACAAGCAAAGCCTTTTGTGCAGGCACGGCCAGAGACGCTGACAGCAATCGTCATCGAAAATCGCAGCAAAAGCAACAAGAGCAGCAGCCAGCAGAGATGACGTCACGTGCGCGCCACTGCGCCTGGCGGCTCAGCATTGTCATTCTGGGCGCTTGCTGCATAGCCGCTGGCGTTTATCTTCTGCGCAACTGGATTGAGATATTTACGCGCATGCGCGGCAAGGTTAGTTGCATATGAATATTTGTTTGTTACATGATTCTCGCATCGTCGCTGCCCGGCCTTATCTAATCGCAGTCATCCTAATTACATCAGTCATTGTCCTCCGTTCGCCATTGAAACGATAAGTTCCATCTCTAAGAGTTCCATAAGAGAGAGTCCAGCTCTCTCACATGTCAATTTGCCGAAACGATGAGAGGTCAACTGAATGTGAACCCCGATCATTAGCATACAATTAGTGTGGCATGGGCGGTGGGAATGGGGGGCTTTGGCTCACCACTTGTCTCTCTTCAAATCAATTGGGATCAATTCCCACAAAGACAGCAAGAATTGAGTGTGTGCAGGTGTTCGCAAAAAAAATATTAAAAAACCCTAGATAAGATACATTTTTGATGGCCACATTACATTTTTTCTATATTTTGGCCAACTGACTAAGTATGCTTAGTTTGGAAGTTTTGAGCAGCTGGCAACGATAAGGACTGATATATCATAATCGTTAAGTGACATGATTCACTGGAGCAGCTGCAGCTGAAATCGGATCGCTGATCATTTTTCGCAATTATGCTAACAACGGAAATATTTAGGTGTGTGTTGCCCAGACAAACAAGAAAACAAACAATTCGAGTTTTTTCCGTGACAAGTAGTTTTATCTTATCTCAAAGCGTACTTATCAATCGCGCTAACTACCATTGGGTGATTAGAGCTGAGAGGTCTGAATCGACCTTGTTGTTGTTGCTCTTTTCTTTCTATTCAATTTTTATGGCTTGCATTTACCGCAAAGCGAATTCATAAAAGGCTTTACTTTTGATATTAACTCAATTAGCCCTTGACCACAGAACACCTGTTTCATCGATTTATATATATACCATATGACATGGGCAACAAATGAAATAAATTCATATTTGTGCATATTCACACGTGCCATTGCCGCAAAACACCTCTATCGCCTTTTTATCAGTGACTCATTTCCTGAACCCGAAACACACACACACACTCACACTCACGAAGAGCAACAATTTTCGCTTCATGATTATAGTTAAAAACTTGAATTTCAAAATGGCCACCTCGGATTTGTTCCAAGTGGTATACACCTAGAATCTAACTATACGATGATTATTGATGGCCCATCAGCCTGGCATTGCTGATAACACTAGACTCACATGACATTTGACTGGACGACTGGAAAATTGCATAGATAGCCAACAATGTAGCCAGAGGTTGTTTAAAACATTTTCAAAGCACACGCAACTTCCCAGTAAGCCTCATAATGTTCCTTCCTGTGCGACTATTGTCGCAGCCGTAAAAGCTGAGCAAAAAAATGATAACATATCTTTTATGTTCCTTAAACTGAGCCAGTTAAATCATGTGAAAATAGTTTCTGGTAATAGCAGGTTGATTGCCGTTAAGGATAATTAATTGTAATTGCTTGACTGAAAAAAACAATTACAATAAATTACCTTTAAATGTAACTAAACGATGCTGTGAATATTAATTAAATAACCCATCTCTATAATTCCATATTGCAGGAAATGGCGCTCAGTCCCACATCGCCAGCGTTTGAGAGCTGGAAAGTGTCGCCGTTGCCGCTAAACTTTGATGTTTATTTATTCAATTGGACAAATCCCGAGGATTTGTACGAGGGCTCAAAGAGGAAACCGCACTTTGTGCAACTGGGGCCCTATCGGTTTCGAGAGAAACCCGACAAGGTCGACATCGAGTGGCACAATCACAATGCTTCGATTTCATTTCGGAAAAAGGCATATTTCTACTTCGATGCTGCGGGCAGCAATGGTACGCTGCAGGATATCGTCACTTCGGTGAACACAGTGGCTCACGTAAGTTTTTTAATAATAATAATAATAATAATTGGTAAATACTAATAATAAGTGAATTCTGTCCATTTCCATAGGCGGGTGCCAAACGTTTAAGCGAATTGAACACGTTGTTTCAATTTGTGGCGTCGACAACGCTGAGCTCCACACAGGAGGTCAGTGAGACGCGGACTGCAGAGGAGTGGTTATTCAAGGGCTTCGTGCATAAGCTGGTGACTCTGGGTAAATTAATAAGCCCGGAGGCTGTGCCGTACGATCGCATCGGCTATCAGTACGGCCGGAATGGGAGCACCAGCTTTGATGGCGACATCAATATGTTCACTGGCGCTGATGATATTCGTAAAATGGGACAAATCCATTCCTGGAACAATAAGACACATACGGGCGCTTACAGTGGATCCTGTGGCAACGTTATGGGCTCCATGGGTGAATTCTTTCCTCCCAATTTGAACACCAGTGACCCCGTCTACCTCTACATGCCCAAAATGTGCCGAGCCGTGCCGCTGGACTATACGGAAACAGTAACCATCCATGGCATCACTGCATACAAATATAGTGGCACTCGGCACGCCGTAGACAATGGCACAATGTATCCGGACACCAAATGTCTGTGTGTGGATGGGCAATGTTTCCCGGCTGGCGTTATTAACGTCAAATATTGCAGCTATAACACATCCATCTTCATGTCCTATCCGCACTTTTATCTGGCCGATCCCATCTATCTGGAAGCAGTGGATGGACTGCAGCCGGAGAAGGAAAAGCATGAATTTTACATGACCCTGGAGCCAAATGCTGGTGTGCCCATGGATGTAGGTGGTGGATTCCAGGCTAATTATCTAATGGAGCCGGTGTCGGGCGTCGCGTAAGTGTATATTGTATTACTTAGGCAACAAAATGAATCGAAATTAATTAGAAATTGTAATTTTAGACTTTATGCGCGTGTGCCACGCGTTTTGCTGCCCCTTATGTGGGCTGAAGAGCGAGTGCGGGTCACTGAGGAAATCGCTAGCAACATTGGTTTAGTTCCACTCATCGTAATGCTGGGCCAGGTATTTACGGGCATTCTCTTAGCCGGCGGACTAATTTGCACCTGTTGGTATCCCACGCGAAAATTGACGAGTCTCTGCCACAGCGACGATCCCAAAGCCAAGGCGGCGGTCCTTCGGCCGCTTACCTCACTGGCCGTTGGCGCCAGTGCCACGGGAGCAACGTTAACTGTGCAGCAGTTATTCCGCCAGAATCCCAGCCACATAGAGCGCGTGGGCGTACGCCTGTTAGATTACAGACGGAGCTCAGGGATAGAAGATGGCGATGACGGAAGTAGCCACGGCAATACCTCTAGAGATCGCCTGATTGAGAGCTGTTCACCAGATGTGATAATTAGCTAACGTAATACATAAATCGTTGCATCCAGCATTTCTGTCGATGCTATATATATATATGAATATATGTATATCTTACCTATATGTTGCCTTAGGGGAGCCAAAGACAAGCACCGCGCCAAGTCTCGCCATTAAGACTCAACAGACCTTAGTTAAGAGTTGTTAGTCTTTAGTCGAGTTGCTTAATTCATAACATTAAATACAATAAGTACCCCACGTTCCACACACATAGAGCAACACTAGAAATAGAGACACACACATCATGCTCACATGGTTTCCTCAGTCAATAGCAGGAGTATCGAGAGAGATTGATAAGATTATTTATTAATTAGTGCCAAAAAGTGAAAGAAACCCCAAACAAAAGTCATTTAACTATTTTAGTAGGCTAACTTCACTCTGTATATAAGTGATTATCCTAGGTTGATAGCCGCCAATCCCATTGTTAAAATTAAAACTGCGCACGTCCAAAGTATTTTTATATATTATATTATAAATATTTAAATTTAATGCATAATTATTTTTGTCTTTGTAAAGCGATTATAAGATGAAGTGATATACAAAGCCTAAAGGCATATTCTTAGATCATTCTCCAGTGAATAATACATTGATAACATAATAAACCAAAACCTTCGAGAAAATAAAATTGAATTGAACAAAAGAAAACAAAAACCATTAAAAAATCCCATAAATTTGTTTATATGCTCTTCAACCAGCTGGAAAAGGCCCAGAAACAAAGGCTGATGAAGCTGAAGCTAACCAGGGAATTGAAGGTGCCAGCACCGTTACCTGTCTTGTGTAAATCCAGCTGCGAGGACAGCTCCTCTGGCACATCCAAGTAGACACGATCCAACCCGAAACTGAAGATTAGCTTCCGCAGCTCTGGCACATTGACGTAATCGCCGTTTGAGGACCAAATGGTCAAGGTGCATTCATTGGTTGCATTGACAGCTGAGACTAGATTGTGTAGTTGTGTTCCGCTATTGGCTGCGATACCGGCTCTTACTGGAAAGGTGATCACCTGCCCGGTAGAGGTTACATTGTTGTCGTTGATGGTCTTCAGCATTGCATCGCACTGCGCCTGAGTGTACACGCCCTCTCGGAAATCGGCGCCCCAATTGGTAGTCCAGCCAATCGATAGAACGGCCTGCTTGTAGCGCATGCAGCCGGCGAAAAAAGGTGCTGGAGCCACAGGCACGGTGCTGTTTTCCTCCACAGGGCCACTGATAATGTCAGCGTTTATCCAGATGGGATAGTTCATCTGAAGGATCATTTGAATATATAGCATTTGTCATGTTGCTTCATAGGGTGGCTTACCTTAGGTATGCTCTCATCCAGTATACCGAGCGACCCCTCGAATACCTCAATAGACTTGAAGTCCAATTTAACGCCCTTCTCGGCGCCCTCATGGAACTCGTTGTGTGCCTTGATTTGATTCAGAAAGTCCTTCAGTGTCAAGTCCGAAGTGTTTGCCGGTGGATGTGCCATAACCGGTAAGACAGGGCCCTCACCATTCAGCTGACCAAGCACAATGTCGGCCTCAATCATATCAATGTCCCCTGTTAAGTGAAGCGTGGATTGGTAAGAGGAAATGAGGCTGATGGAAGAGCTGAGCTATGCTTACCACGAAGCGCCTCAGCCAGCAGTTGTTGACTGTTGACGGCATGGGCCCAGTGAATGGAGGTCAGGTTGGCCGCCTTGGCGATGAGTTTGCCTTTGTCGAATCGAACCATGTCCACTAAAGCATGCTGCGCCTGCTCCTGCAGCACAATATCAACGGGCGCACTAGGTCGCAGTGGATGCGGTGCTGTCAGCTCGTAGTAATTCACGCTGGCGTTCAAAGCAACTCCATTGATTTTAACCACAGAGTGTGCTATTTAAATCAATGTATTTTGTATTACAATAACAACAATCGTATAGAGTGTCATATGCATATAAATGAGAGACTTCTTACCTTTGGGCAAAACGATTTGGAATTGACGCTCACGGAGACAGTCACATGAATGAGGAGCAATTGTTTACTCACAAATAGAGTTCAATTCTCTCTATGTGCGCCTATGGATGTATGCATATACAGTTTGACCAAATGTGTATGGTGTGACAGAGTCGATTTGTGTACATGTGTGTGTGTATAAATATGTGTGTGTGTGAGTGTAAGCACCTCCAGTGCCGGTTTATGAATATTAGTTTTATTAGGGCGCCGTTTACTGGAACAAATGCTGCTGCAGCTGAAATTCAACTGCGGGACATTAAGCTGAATCAAGAAAGAGGAATGTGATTTATGTTTATATTATGAAGCACTGACATATGGATAGCCATAGTGCGCATGCGCCGTATGATGCAAGTGATGCGAGAAGCTGCAGTTGAAAGTTGTTTTTTATTTAGATAAGTTCAAGCATTATTACCGAGCATGCAAATCAGTATTGCAAGTGGCAGTGACCCTTGATAGCCTCGGCGTGGATCTGCGCTATTAATTGCCATGTTCTTGCTGGAGGTACTGGAGTGAAACAATTCCATATTCCTATATTAATCAGTTGTAATAGTAGACTTTGCGATAAGTAAAAGTGATTAAATTTAAAGTACTATTGCTCTTCCTCTTATCGTTGACTTTTGAACATCCAATTAAAATTGATTAATTGTTATGATCTCAACCAACCAAATAGCTAAGGCAGATATATATTATTAGTGCGATTATATAATTTAAATTTAAATTTTGTACAATATTATTGTAAACATAATCTTTTGCTTACCGCGAAACTTTGCGAATTTAATAATAATATTAATTTTTGGATAAGGCCGATAGCTCGGCGAAACTAGCGCGACAAAAGATGGATATCGTTATCAAATTTTTCCGTTTGCCGCAATTTTCAAAAATGATCGGCAAACCGTGAAATGTGAATTGGGCAAAAAGTTCAAGACTAAAAATGAAAGACTAATAATTTAAAACCGCAACGATAATGGTTATCCTTGGTGTATTCCAAATAATAATAATTATATTAGCAGCTTACTTTTGTGCGTCACGTCATTCACATCACTTTGGTTAATGTTCACATATATGGTATCTCGAAGCTTATCGATAGTTGACTCACATTGGCACTGTTAACATTTGCAATTGAATTACCTTCAGTTTAAAATTTGTCCATTTTAATTCCTAAACACTGCCTTAATTGAATTTGTCCTTTCAAAATTAAATGAACTTGTAAGAACCAAAGTGTAATCCTCAGCTCTGAAAACTAAACGCAACAACATCTGTTTTTCTTTTTTTCAGTGTATTACTGTTCAATAACAGTGGAACACAATGTAAAGTTTATTTTGATGTCTCGCAATCAGCTGACGGCTTCTCGCACATAAAACAAAAATGATTATTTATGGAGTGTATATAGTTAGCAAATCCGGTGGTCTCATATTCAATCTGGACAATAATGTGCCACGAATAGAGCATGAGAAGACATTCACATACCCACTGGACTTGGTGCTCGACTACGACCCCAAGAAAATTTCCGTGGCATTCAACCGCAAGGATGGTATCAACGGTAGGTGTTGTCTTTTTTCCTGACGTTCCTCTGTTTAATCACAGTGTTTTGCAGTGGGACATGTGCTGGTCGCCGTCAACGGTGTGACAGTGAATGGTGCCACGCTGGAGGATGGTCGCGATGTGAAGACCATGCTGGAGTCAGCCGACAATTTTCCTATTAACCTCAAGTTTAGTCGCCCCAAGATGACAACAAACGAGAAAATATTTCTCGCAAGTATGTTCTATCCGCTGTTTGCCATTGCCAGCCAACTGAGTCCAGAGCCCAAGAGCTCGGGCATCGAGCTGTTGGAAGCGGACACCTTCACGTTACATTGTTTTCAAACATTGACGGGCGTCAAGTTTATTGTGATCTCGGAAACGGGTCTAAACGGCATGGACCTCTTGCTGCGCAAAGTCTACGAGCTGTATTCAGACTATGTTCTCAAAAATCCATTTTATTCACTGGAGATGCCCATACGATGTGAACTGTTTGACAATAAACTGCAGGAACTTCTATTGCAAGTGGAAAAGACGGGGATTAACAATATTGATAAATAAAATATTGATAATAAAATATACTGATAAAACTTTCAAGCTGTTATCATTAATTCATAGATTTAGAGGAAATCTTATTCATGCGTACAAAATATTTTTGTAGTAGAAGTATAGAAATTGTAGTAGAAGAAGAAGTAGAAATTTTGAATAGATTGATCATTATTGTTACGCTTATAATTTAATTTAATTAAATAAATATTTTGTATTATAGCAGTGAAGACTGACTGTCATGCTTTTATTTAATATCTTATGGAATTGCCTTCGCTTCGCATATATAATTAAGTGCAATGTCACAAAAAACGTCATTAAGCGCTGTTTCCTTCAACTCGATGCATAATTCCTGCAGATTGTTGGGCTCCTCTTTATGCCATCTTAGATAAGGCATGGGCTCACCAGTGGCAATAGAAGTCCATACTCTGTTCTCTGCTAGGCAGTTACCCGATATCCAATATCTGCTAGATGGGATGGCCGATAGCATCAAATCCATTTCCGTGCTGCTCTCAAAATTAAGCAAGTGTCCTCCCAGTTTGCGGCAATTGTGCGCTGCCTGATGCCAGTTGGCCTTCAAAGTGGTCTGGACATGGTAGAACTTGTTGCCAATTTGAATGGGGAAGTTAGTTTGATATTTAGACTCTACATCCACATTTACGACTACAATTGAATAATTTATAGACTCTGGTACTTTGTGAATAGAAATATTTACCTGTGCGATTCGACTCGACAATCTGTGATGGGTCGTCGCCTATGAAGAAATCCGGTGTTAATGAAAATTGAGTGTTTCTGACATGATCTATTAAGGAAAACTTACCCGTCGGACTTGGCATGGCAAAGTCCCATAATTGAAGGATGATTAGTAGAAACACAAACTTATTTCTCATCGTGCTGCCTGTAGCCCAAGCTATAACCGAATGGACAGCGGGTTTCGAATTTATACTTTTCGACTCGTCATTTTGTAACAATCAGCATTATAAAAAGAAGTTAATCAACAATTGTGAATTGCGGACTATAAATATTTCACCAAGGAATTAACTGTCTGATTGGATCGGAAAATCCGTAGGATTGTACCGGAAATTCATTATCTTTTTTAAATTGACAAAATATTTATCAGAAATTAATTTGTTAAGGTAGACAAGATTCACAATTTAAAAAAAAAAAAGTATTTTCAAAGATTGTGATCTTATTAGACATTATTGTTCCCATTCGCTTAAACGGTATTATCGGGATTGCTGTTGGTTCTGCTGAGGATTAAGTAAACAAGGGAGGATTAGTCATGTTAGCCAAACCTCGTGTTTTTTAACTGATAACTGGACAGAATTATTGCCATAATAAAACTATATATTTGATGGGTTTAGAAAAGTTGGGTAATGTACAGAATAGTTATTGATAATATAATTATATCAGCTGCATTTAGATCATGAACAATAATAGCAACAATCTATACCTTTTTGACTAATATATTATTAAATTATCATTTTTAATCTGTATTCTCAATATATTGGAGTTGTCAACTGTATGTATGTATGTAGAGTGGGGGTGTTGCTGAACACAGCTACATATATGCATATAGAGATTATGTAAGCCAATATCCCATATCCCAATGCTCGAACTGTAAGAATGCATCAATTAATATATTCTAAGGTAAATCGTTGTTTACCATGCCCCAAAAAGTATACCTAACAAAGTTCGATATTATAAAAACTGTATAATTGGTAATATTCATGTATTAACATTCAACGAATTTTACAAATTATAATTTAAATATTTTAGACTTGAGTGAGCCTTGCCTCGTATTCCTATGATTAGGCTGTTTTAGGTATAGGCTGCCTATAATATGTTCGCTTGGCACACATAGTTGAGGCGAGTTTCGCAGGGCTCATCAGATAGTCCGGCTTTTGCCGCTTGAACGCAATATTCATTGCCAGCCAAATTGTCCGGCTGTCCGGGCTGCCAGCTGCTGTAGGGCATGGCCACTCCAGTTGCTATTGAAATGAAGTTCCTATTTTGGGCCAAACAGTTCGCGGAGACCCAGAACCGATCCGAGTTAGTAATCGATACGATCAATTCTATTTCAGTGGCGCTCTCGATGTTCAGCAAATATCCGCCCCACCTGCGGCAGCTCTCCGCTGCTGAAAACCAGTTCTCCTTCAACTTGGTCTCGATGTAATAAAGCTTACTGCCAATTTTGATCGGGAAATCTCCGCAGCTGCTAACGCATTTGCCCAACTCATTCTTTTGAGCAAATAAATTAGCTAAAATCGAAATTGTATTAGTTCTACTTCCAAATCTAAGGTTTTTATGATTTACTCACGTGTCTCATGCGACATTGCGAAATGCCCCAATTGCATCGAAATTAGCAGTACAACTATTTTTACATTCATTCTGCTTGGATTTGCCAATCGGGCCAGCTCTGACTAAACTCTAAGAATACTTTCAGTATTTATACCATTTTGCTCAAATACGAGAAGCCAGATAGAAGAACACGATAAGAATGTGTCAAGTGCTTGCCATAAGCTGCCAAAGTAATTGGTTAATGAGGTTGTAAATTCAGCGATACGTAAGGAAGTTCCTCTTGAAATACCGTACCTCGATAATCTATTGCACTCACTCACATTTGCTATACATAGATGATCAGGTTAACGGTTTAACGGTTTAAACGGAAGAAAATATTTATAGCGCGGAACTAACAAAAATAATTTCCGAAGTGGATTTAGAATAAAACTAGGGTATATCAACATTTTTCTAGATACAAAAGTACCATAAACGAAATACATGAGTCTATTTTAAATTAGAAAGAGAATGGGAGACTATGTAAAAAAATCAAAAAAGATTATTCTCTGTTGTGCTTCATTTATAAGAAGTATTCGATCATAGTTAAAAACAGTTACATATTTTAAAGAAAATTAGGAATGTATTTTCCCAAGTTTTCCAAATGCAAGCAATTTATTCAAGGGAACAGGCCAAATAGTATTTTATGATGTCCGAATTATATACTTAATCTTCATATTAGCCAATTTGAAAATAAAGATCAGACTGTCTTGCGATCTTATATAGTCAAATCGTGAGGACAATAAAGATAATCAACATATTTCCAATCCAATCAGCCTATTAACTTCTATTTGATGATTTATAATCCGTAATTGCTGATTATTTTCTTTTTTTTATAGCTGATTACCAAAAATTTACCTGAATCGAACAGTATAAATACGAAAGTCTCTGTCCATTCGGTCATATCTTTCACTACAGGCAGCACGATGAGAAATAAGTTTGTGTTTCTACTAATCGTTCTTCAATTATGGGACTTTGCCATGCCAAGTCCGACGGGTAAGTTTTCCTTAATAAATCATGTCAGAAACTCTCAATTTTCATCAATTCCGGATTTCTTTATAGTCGATGACCCATTACAGCTGGTCGAATCGAATCGCACAGGTAAATATTTCTATTCACAAAGTACCAAAGTCTATAAATTATTCAATTGTAGTTGTAAATGTGGATGTAGAGTGTAAATATCGAACTAACTTCCCCATTCAAATTGGCAAAAAGTTCTACCATGTTGAGACCGAGCTGGAAGTCAGCTGGTACCAGGCGGCTCACAATTGCCGTAAACTCGGAGGACACTTGCTCAATATTGAGAGCAGCACGGAAATGGATTTGATCCTATCGGCCATTCCATCTAGCAGATATTGGATATCGGGTAACTGTCTAGCTGAGTACAGAGAATGGATCTCTATCGCCACAGGCGAGACCGTGCCTTATCTAAGGTGGCAGGAAGGGGAACCCAATAATCTTTTTGGCGAAGAGTTCTGTGTCGAAATCAAAAGAACTTTACTCAACGATGACGACTGTCGTTTATCCTTAAATTATATATGCGAAGCCAAGACATTGTAAGAAAACTGTAAATTTGTTGTTTATATTTGTTCTATCTGCACAGAATCAGCTTGGGTAAATAAACAGATTTTAACTTTATATGAATACGTATATTTTAATAGTTTATATAGGTATAATTTTTTTCAGTTTACTGCTAAAGCAATACAAAATTGTTATTTAAGCTACGAGTTATATATGTCTATATAACGGCTACTGGCATACTTAGAATATGTAATGTATTTATATTCGCACTAAATATGTATGTACAGGTTTTGAATATGAATATATGTATGTACACACCCATAAATGAATAATCATTTCTCAAAATGCTAAAACGCACATTATTTATATTTCATACATACGTATATCTACATATGTATAGCTAGGTATGTGTGTATATATAGTACAGACAATTCGATCTCCTGCTTAAATAGTAATTGCATGTTAGGCTAAGGAAATATAATACGAATGGTGCGTAGGCATATGAATGTTTGATATAAAAGTTAATAAGTGTAGAATTTTCTGATATAGTACATATAATAGTGTAAGGGTTACTCGTATAGTTTATTCATAATATTGCAAATAAGATTTGGGACTCTCATTTTGTTTTGTTTTGTGTTGTTTTTGAGCTATTACAACTGGGCCCCATCAAAATGTCTAGGTATACTAAATGATATTGGAAATAAACTAGTTTCGCATAGATCAGATAGTGTTCAAAACAAATCTACCCAGATGATTATACGCAGAGTTTTGCCATGAAGCGATCATTATACATAGAGAGTGTACAATTAATTTAGTTATTATATATTACAATTAATTAATTATTCTTCTCGTTTATTTTGGCAGGAACACTTTGCGGTTGGTTCGTTTCATTTCATTTCGTTTCACTACTAAACTGATCAAATTAACAATATAAACAATACAGAAGAAAACAAAACATTTCGAACTCTACTCAGTCGTGGGCCTCTTGGCACCTCCTCTTGTTCGGATATTTGGTTCAGCATTATCTAATGACACATGGGAACAGAGCTTAAACTCTATTGACGTATAACCTATTAGCTGACATATGTATGTTCATAGGTGAAATGCATGTTTCTTTGCTTGTATTGTCCATGTTAATTTTCTAGTCTCTTATAAACCATTATAATTTGATTAAATTTAATTTTTTGATCATTTTTTTTCGTTGTTTGAAATAAAGTTCTTGAAAGGCATTTTTGTAATAATTTCACAATAAACTTTTATATTAATTGCCAAGCATAATTAATTTTAACAGGCTGCTGGGATATGTTTCATAGCACTAAAGACGTTAAACAATATGGGGTGGGGGGATTGTGAGCGCAACTCTCAGATACTAATACTAGGTTGAAGACATATTCGAAGACTAAACATAACATAATTTGCACTAATTGAAAATTGTATTTCATTCGATTTAACAGTTTATATTTGCTGCCAATTTGTAAATTATCATTTTTGTTTGTTTTTAATTTGCTTAATGTAAATAATTTATATCACAACAATAGAGACAAAGATGGTGTCTTTGTGTGTGGGTGTGTCTGTGTGCGTAATACGTGTGTGAGCTTTGATATGAGTTTGTGCGCACAGCTTTCGAGGCTCGACCAAATAACAAAGGCAATATTTAATTAAATATTATTCAATATACACATATATAATATATACATATACATATTCATACACACACACTGAAGCACTCAAGACAAACAGTTGCACACACGCATACAACGAAATTACTGTGGACACCCACAGACGCATACACGCACACGCACACGCACACACACATACAGACGCAAACGCAAGCGCACGCAGCAATATTCCACTGAGATCCAATACAAGAGTAACGCCCATCGGGGTCACGCCCATCCAGCGCCGATCTAATACTAACTCTTGCTGAGCGCCTTCTTTTTCCTTTGTACCAGAATATCGTAGAACGGATTGTGGCTGATGGACTGTGTCAGGCGCTTGATCCATTCCTGTTGATCCTCCTCCGTTGAGGCCGACATGCGGTAAACCGTGTGCTTGCCCTCTACCACCTGCAGATCAATCGAAGCGGATCAGTTTAGCGAGACTCGATGAAATGCGACTCAATTCACTCACCTTGCCCTCGGAATCAGTCTTGCATGCCTTGATGATATCGGCGCCGCCGGTGGCAAACAGCTCAAAGCAATGCGGCTTGCTGCGATCCTGTATCTCGCGCACCGATATATTCTCGAGCGGTATTATGCCGCGCGGCTCCTTATCTGTGGTATACTCGAAGTAATACAGGCAGTTGTCGTTCAGTATGAACCATCGTCGCTTCCACGATTTGTATCTGTGCAGGGATTTGCTATTAGAATGGCTTAAGAACTACCTAGAACGCAATTTCTTCTAGTTACCTGCCGCCCTGCTTCCAGAGCCAGCCCTCCTTGTCGGGATTGAAGAAGGTGTGCATCAGATCGTTGCCATCGTCTTGGGGTATCTTGAAGGGCTCTGTGCGTATCGACTCGTACAGTGACTCAAGCAGGCCACGGGGCAAATCACCGCCGTTGTTGATGCCACGATTCATCGAGATGAATTGCTCCACGGTGGGTTTGTCTTTGACCTGAAACCGAAATGAGAATGAAAATGAAAATGAAAATGAAAATTAAATTGAAACTGAAATTTGAATTGATATAGGGATGCCGTTGTGAAACAAGCAAATTGCGCAATAATAACTAATTAGGGAAACATTTTATGTGCCGCTCGTGCCGTTGAGATCGTTTTACCAGATGCCAGAGCCCAATTAGTGGCCGCTCAACGATTTCAGCTCGTGTGAAATGCGTTAGACTTGACCTATTTTTAGCCCGATGCACAACACTTTTATTTGTTTTTTTTTCTGTAATTGCTCGAATTCAATGTTGCTCTTGCTGCTGGGAAATGGCAAATGGGGAAATGAGGGGAAATGCGTCGTGTGGACCGTCAGTAATTGCTGCCTGACAGGCGACAAAGTATTCAATTCCGCAGTTTTGGGCCACGCGACGTGCATTTCGCTAGCTTTTTTATATTTGATTTTCTGCTTTTCTTGTTTTGGTTTTGGCACATTCAACGATGAAACACCATCCCACTGTGCCAGCAGCAACAACTACAACTTCCTGTCGCTCCCCAACACTTCCGGTGCGCAAACCATGACACTGAACTGTAATTTGCTGCTGCCAACGAAAAAAAACACTTTAAAAAGTTCCCAAACCTTTTTTCCGGAATATTAAAACTTTTTTTTAAAACGCTTGAAAGTCACACAACAAAATAATAAGGTACTTGAAACACACAATTTAAGGGTGATTGAAGAGCAGAAGATATACATATATTCCGCTTTATAAATTTAGTAAGGAATACTAAACATAAAGTTATGAAATTATTTATGTGTGAGCAGCATTTGAGGCTGCAGGAGTTGGAAGGTCGAATGATCTATAGATTTATAAATCCCTAAGGAGATTCATAATTAGGGGGGAAAATCCGCAACTTCCTTTTAAGCAAAGGCTATGTATTATAGAACGAGATATATATAAGGCAAATTAATCCATTCCAGGTTCTTTCGATAATCATAATCAACATCACGCATCACTCGACTACTTACCGATGGATTGTGCAGTGATGTGTTGAGCATTATAATGGCAAAGCTGAGCACGTAGCAGGTATCCGTGTTGGTGAATATGTCCGGATTGAGCTGACAGTAGCGCTGGGCGAATGTCTCCATCATTCGGTCGATCTTCTGGGCCTCGCCGGGCAGCCGAAACGACCACAGAAATTGCCTGTGAAAAATGCAATAAAGAGCGTTGAGAAATGTTGAAGTCAACTAGCTGAACTAGCAGCTGTGGCTGTGGCTGTGTAGAGCTAACCTTAGAGCTTGCACCAGTATCAGATTGGTGAAATCGTGGAGGGCCACAAATGCCTTCAGCACATCCTCGTTGAAATCGTTTTTCTCGCCGAGGTAATCGCCTGGAAATTCAAACAGAAATGAGCATGAAAATTTATGTTATGCATTATGAGTTTTAATTGAATTTCGCCCCATGCGGGCGTCGCACTGGGCCAACAATTTACGAGCTCTGCTCACGGGCCACGGGCCACGGGCCACGGCCCACTCACCTATTGCCGTTTTGTTCAGGCCCTCGCCCTTGTACAGGAAGTGCGCCACATCCTGGGGATCGTGGCGCAACAGTCGATTCTCCACGAGATACTCAATGCCTGCAATTGATAAGAGAAGTTGTTAAAGTTCAACTGAATTGCTCAAGGACTTCAAATATTATGCACTACTCGACGGCAGCTCTGCTGCTGCTAAAGCCGGAAATTCAAGTTGCGTCGAATCAAATGCAGCCCAAGCCCCACACTCGTCATCTACCCATATAGCTCGTAATCGGCAGCGACCCGCAACATATGAACCGCAGCAATCTCAACAATAACATCGAAGAGAAGCAGAGAAATAAATAAAATAAAATAAAATAGGGAGCGCCAGTGCGCAGACCAGACATCGATGTCATTATTTGCCAATCAAAGCGCGCGGGCCGGCAATTTGCGATAAAAGCCGGAAGACAAGACAGCAAAGAAGCAAAGCCCTCCAGGAATTAAAATGAAACGCATTAGGACCGAGCCACAGCTAGCGCGAAATATGCGACAAGCGAACAAATTTGCCAATCGCGTGAGTCCTATGCGATCCAACGATAGCTGGCGCCAGACAACAAAAAACTAAATATATTCGCCTCGTTTAGATGGTAAAAACTTTGATTATTACGTGTGTAACTATGATGGCATGGTAAGTTATAGAACTGGAGTAATCAAAGTGAGAAATGTATGGAATTATTGAGAATAGTCATCATGTAGAAAGAGAAATTACAACAGTTTAAATTTTTGCAGATTCCAAGTCTTTTATCCATTTTGAGTTATTCACATATTTATCAAGTCATATAATACTTATAACGATTCATTTCAATTAATCTATAAATAATTCATTACAATATTCAGTATTTATTGTATTTAATTATTTATGGACTTACTGAGTGAAAATATATTTATATACATACATTCCTCCCAGAGGAAAAACTGTTTAATAAATTTTTATTTTTTATTTTATGAGTTTTGCAAAAAAACAGTTTGGGTTTCATTTCAGCAATAAACGATTTTAGAATATATTTTAAATTTATATACATATTTTTAAACGTATTTTAATTTCAAATTATTTATTGAATATTTTATATTCAGAATTTAATAACAACATAGCATATAAATGTTAAATTTAATTATGATTCTATTCACAAGCAACTACTTCAGGCAACACTTTGAACGCCCCTCGCCCTGCCCACAAGTAACAAGTTTTTCCTTTACTTTTGCTATTGCTTCAATCGCAGACAGATTGGCTTTTCAGTTTGATGCTTTTGTTGTGCGTTGTTGGCAATACGAATTCATACATATATGGAACAACAACAACAACAACAACAACAAACAACAGCAATAATAACAATGACAACAATAATGCGAAATGACAACGGATAATGACAAAGGAGTCGCGCCCGTAGCAGGAGTTTGTCAGGCTATGGCAATACCATTTCTTTTTTTTTTTTCTCCGTGTTTGTTTGTCAGGCGCGCATCACACGCGATTAGCATCAGCAAGTTGGCAGTTCTGCAGCCTTAAGCCACTAGCCCCGCCCACTGCCACCTACCAATACCCTCGATGCGTTATGTATGGCACATTTGTGGGCTATTAATTTAAGTGTGTGTGCGTGAGTATGTGTCGCCCCCTCCCGCCCGCTCCGACAGCTCGGCTGTTGATAATCGGGCGATAAAGCGACAAATGGCGATGGCCTGTAAAATATCCGCATTCCGCGAACCACCCGAGCCACCCAAACCACCCAACAGGGAATGTTTCACATGTTTTTAATAAGCGCCTCGTTTCCCGAAGTGGACTCGATTTCCACTTTGTTATTGCCAGCGGTCGGTCGCTGACTTCACGCCACTTACTACAAATACTTCACTGTGGATTAGCATTTTTATTGTTTTGAGTTTGACGCAGGATGCGACATCGACTGAGGCCCGATGCCTGCCTGTCCCAATTTGGACTAGTCAACGCTAATTTATGGCCAAGAGGTCGATGAAAATATTTGATTGGCTCTTAAATTACGAGACGACAGCGACAGCATCGAGGTCGCATTTTAGAGCAAAGATCTTTCTGGGGGGATTAGGAGAGAGAGAGAGTGCTCAATAAATGGGTCACCAGGGATGCGATGCGTAGAAGGTTAAGCCAGTACAAGCTGCTATTTATATATGTAGCTATTTTTATATTCTCATAACTCATCTATTAATATATTTATATGGAGGAAAGTGTGGGAATGCAATGCCAGAACAGAGTCAGAGCCAGCCTCTGTTGACATATCAAATTTCATTTCTCAATTTAATCGATGTACCGATAATTGTGTAATGGAAGAGGGATATCAACTAAGTAAACAGAAGTGCAAGTTATAGCCCATAGATACACATAGAGAGGGAATGTTCTGCCAACTCTCAACTGTTACCCTCTGTCTGGCCCATTATTCACTTTATATATTGTGATATATCGATGACATTGTGTGCTTGTAATCTTCAACTGTGCCGCCCGCATCTTTGGCCTTGTCCGGCCCGTCACTCAGCGCGCTCCGCTCGGATCTCAAGAATATTGCGACATTGACATTTCCATTAAATGAAACGCCCCGGCACTCACTCGTCGGTATCCCGGCTGCACGTACGACAAATGTCAACGAACTGTCAAATTTGTCAGCGTTTTAAGATTGCGCCCGGGTGGGTGAAGACTTCCACGAGACTCTCGCTGCATTGCGCTGCATTCGCTGCAGCTCATCATTCGGGCTCATTACGTTATTAAATTAACTTTGGAATTATCGTCATTGGGCGAACGTGCCCGGCGCTCAGCACCGCCCCGCCACGCCCCGACAGCAATTATGACAGTGTAAATTCGCCTGGCTGTTATGCTCTTTGGCGCCGTCACGCAGCGCCTCGCAGCAGCCCCCCTCCCATCTGAAACAACTCAATTATAAAGCACTTCAGTTCCATACGTTGCTCGAAATTGCATTGAAATTTCATGTAAATCATTCGCACATTAACATTTCCCACCCGATTTGTCTCTCGGGTGGTTTATCCCAGCAAACGTCTTTGACTTATTCGCGAAATATGCTAAAATACTGGAATATATTGAGCATAATAAATTATTCCTAATTTAGTGAATTTCTGTTGAATTGAAATTATTTCAAGTTTTGTGGGGAATTCTAAAGAGTTTTTTTTTTTAAGCAGGTGAATTTCCAATAATTTCATATGAGTCATTTCACTTTTTTTTTGTATATCTAAAATTAAATTTCCATATCGATCTCTGTTCAAGTTCCATGATTTTTTCTTAAACATAAATATTGTCTTGTTTATATATATCTTTAAGGCTTAGCTTATTTATTTTTAATCTATATTTGCTTCAAGCTCACCTTTCTTGGGATCCATATTGAACTTTTTCCGCCCAATCGACATTTGTTTATCTTTGTTGGAATGCTTGTCCTCGGGCACATCGAGCGCTTCCATTTCCGATACGACTTCGCACAGCTCATCTTTGATTTGCTATAAACGAAAGCAAAGAAAACGAAATGAATTAATTAAATGAAACGAAATCGAGAGTTCAAAAACTTTCACACCGCACAATTTTGTATGTACAGCAGGCAGAAGCTGAAGTGCCTCCAGCTGTGCCCAACCGCATGTGAGACTAGATAAAAATAGTCGAGTGGAATGCATCTGCAAACACTCGTATAATTTGCGGAAATGAGCCAGTGACAATTGTTGCTAAAAATACAACAACAGAAAGAAAAACACATAAAAGTGTTCACAGCATTTGCAACAAGCCTCGATCATTCACAATTCACACTATTCGCATTCACAACAAGTGCGAATCATTTGCATGCCTCCACTTTGGGTATTTGATTTTATTTCACTTGAAACAATTTCGGCGTGCCAAAAATAAAAAATTCGCATAGAGAAATGAAGGGAATTTGATTTAATTGAATTACGCTCGCCGAGACGAGTACCTGACACGGCCTGGGTCCATTTGAGCGGGGTCAAGACACAGGCAGCGACAGCGACTCGCCTGTAATACGATGTATTCAAAGGGGCGTGACAAATTTGTCAAACACACAATTGAACTGAGGCGAACGAGGCCATTCACTCGCCGAGCACGCTGTGAGTGTATCTGTGTCTATGTATCTGTGTATCTGTAGCACATATGAGATACAGTTGCTGTTGCTGCACTCTAGTGTCTAGTTATTTGTCAGTCTGTTGACGCTTGACTTGGCGAGAGCGCCACGAGACCGGAACATATCAATTGCCCCTCCTCCCCTGAACTGCTCCTCAATGACCTTCTGACTCATTTGCCAAGTCTAACATATACTCTATATAACTATATATATATAAATATATATGCAAATCGCCTGTGGAATGCCAATTAAATACGCTGAGAAACAATTGACACGCCGAGCCACAGTGGCAATGATCGTTCACAGATTCGTCGTCAAGTCTGAAGTTATGCGATGAGCTCATCCACTTGGAACTCCACACAGCGCAACGCCGTGACCCCCTCGAGAATCTGCTAGTTTTAGATCGAGCTGCGGTTTCTTTCTGACTACATTTCATTTGCCAATCAATTCAATAGTTCTTTGACGTGTGATGTTGCATTCTCTACGGTTCTCCAAGAGCAAAGCCTGTCACACGAGAAGAATTTTATAGCGAATCGACAGTTGAATGACTAAACAAATCATCATTAAAAATATGTATATTGATATAAAGCCTTAGGTATGATGTTTTCATTATATAATAACTCGACAGTTTTATGGCTTTTACTTTAGAGTTTCAAATCCTTTCCCATGCTTTACGAACCCTGAGCATACGCCACGCCATTTCCGCTGCACACTTTAAAAAGATATAGCAATAGAAATCAACCATTCAATTAGTGAGCAGGCCAGACCTGAATTATGTAAATTTTGTAATTTCCAATAGAGTTAAATGCCCAACAGGAGTCCCCCATTAACTGAATGCGAGCTACCAAGCTACGCCCCGTGAGCCAGCAACAGACATTTGAGAAATCATGGAAAAATCACATAAAATTGAAGAAAATTGTTAATGAGAAGCGCGTAGAGAGGCATCAAAGACAGGCAGAGAGCAGCGCTCGCGGGCTATTCGCTTAAAGACGGCAACGCTAATCAAAGAGCAACAAAACAGAACCGAACCGAGTAGAACAGGTGGACAAGGGTCATTGATAGTGCGCAACAGACGTAAAGCTAATGAACGTCAAGCTTTAAAAATAACTCACACTGAACGCGACGCAGGCGACAGGTAAACAACGAAGTCAAAGGTGTGGGAACGCGGCGCACGAGGAAATACAACAGAAAGAGAATCAATCAAGAAACCTGTTTTAATGCAATGCAAATTGTATTGAAGCAGCTGAAACAAAGGCGAGCGAGCTTGAAGCTACGTCTCGAGTGACTTATCAGAGCATATTTTAAAATAGAAATTATTTAACTGTCAATAATGTGGCGTTAACATGTGATAAGGTATGTTGGCGTACATAGATATATATATATATATACATGTATTAAATATTATATTTGTTATTCATATTAACTTCTTTTTGAGAGGGCTATGATACGCAGGTGATTGCAGAGTATAAAATTGATTAGTAAAGTTGAACAGAGAAATTTCATTTGAATGTGGCCATGAAAACCTAGAGTATAAATTAATCAGAGCTATATACATATTTAAGATATAGATTTCAACTCTATCAGCATTCACTTCAAAACTTTCTTTCATTTTTAGACTGAATGCAACTCAAACACATTTCCAAACACTTGAAACACTTGTAATTCCCAAGAAGACTATTACGTATACGATGTTCGATATTCGATATATGATATACGATATACGATATTCGATACCCATTTGCTTGGCTCATACCTGCGGTCGCCTCAGGATGGCGACATTGCTCTGCTCCGCATTGTTGCGATTGCGCTCCATGAGCGTTCGACAACTCTCGCAGAGATTCGCCTGTTGGTTGTTATTGTTGTTGTTGTTGTTGCTACTGCTGTGATTGTTGTTCAGCTGTTTGCTGCTGTTGTTGTTGTCGGCAATGCTGTTGCTGTTGCTATTGCTATTGCAATTGCTGCTGTTGTGGTTCTGGCTGACTGAGTTGCGTTCGGATTCGCTTTGCGAATTGGAACTGTCGTCAATGAACCGCAAATCGCCCGCCTCTGGCGTCAGCGGTGAGCTTAGGCCTGAGTTGACCATCTCCGACTCAGAGTCCAGCTGCAGTGCCTCGTTATCGATGCCGTCCTCGGCAACGTCCAGCATGCAGCCGAGCGAGTTGGAGCGCGACTTGCGCGGCGCCTGGGGCGGACGCCTCGAGATGATCTCGCCCCGCTCATTGAGCAGCAGCTCGACGGGCCGCGATATGATGAGAGTGCGAGTGGTGGTTGTGGTGGTTGTGTGGGTCAGCTCGGAGCGCCGGTTGAAGAGCTGCGTGTTCGGCTCTTCGCTGGGCAGACGCAGCAGCTCCACCTTGCGGCTGACATCGCTGCAGCTAACGGTCTCCGTGCTCAGCGTGGGACTCGCGGGCGGCGGACTCTCGGCTCGCAGCGAGGTCACCTTATAGGTGGCCACGCTGGTGAACGGCGACAGCGAGGGCGAGCGGGGCGATCGTGGCGTGGAGATGGCCGCCGGCGAGGGCGGAGGCGGCTTAACGTCCACATGCAGCTTCTTCGGCTGCTCCTTCTTGCCCACCAGGCTGCCCAGGTTGCAAAAGCAGCGCGCACAGACGCCGCTGCTGATGGTGGTGCTGCTGCTGTTGCCGCTGCCGCCGCCGCTGGAGCTGCTGCTGGTGTTGCCCAACAGTCGGCGGCGATCCTCCTCGGCCTTGCTGGGGGGCGCTGTGATGTAAAAGGTGCTGCTGCTGCGGCTGCCAGGCAGCTCGCTGCCATCCCCCGTGGGCGTGGCGCCACCGACGGCATTGATGCTCAGATCGAAGCAGCTGCGCTGCAGTTGCTGCTTGCTGCCAAAGCTGCCGACGCTGCGGCCGCCCAGCGAGCCGCTCTTCTTGCTCTTGGGCTGGCGGCGCAGCGAGCTGAACCAGTTGCTGATGCTGGGACGCTTCTGTTGCAGCGACGTCGTCGTCATGGCTGCCAGCCAATTGCCGACTTCCGTTCGCTCAGTCTTTTATGGCCTTTTGATGGTTGCAGCCCGAAAACGGGTTCGTTCTCTCTCTCTCTCTCGCTCGCTCTCTCTCTCTCTCTCTCTCTCGCTCTCTCTCTCTCTCTCTCTCTGTCTGTTGTTGTGTGTGTCTTTTCTCACTTGTGCTACTGTTGGCCTTTGACTCTGATTCCTGGTTAATTATTTTGGCTTCTTCATGGCGCAACTCTGAAAATGTTGTAGAGTTTTCTTTCTGTTTCTGTTTTTGTTTTTGTTTCTCTTTCGAGCGCAGAATTCACAGCAATTTACAAGTACAAAGACGCGACGACGCACTGAGCAATGCTTGATGCCCATAAATTCATTAGCTAATTATAAAGATGCCGCGGCGCAGCGCAGCCAAACAAACCCAGCAAAGCCCACCAAGTGCCCCTGACAGGAAGTGTCAGACAGGAGACGACCTCAGAAATTGAATTTGCTGTCGGCGCACAACATTTTTCGGGTTTCCCATGCTGCGGCTGCCACTCGAAAGAAGCGCGCCGTGGCGACACAAAACAAATTACGCTAATGGCGCGCAGGTTAAGAAGGTGCTGGCGTTTGTTAATCCCTGCGACAGGACGACAACGAGGACAACAACAACAGCAACAACAACAACTACGCAGTTTTTACCCGCCACATCTTCACGTGTGATTTGTGTAGAGCTGGCAAACACTTTAAGGCTTTTGGGCGAGTCTAGCGACAGGAACAAATGGAGACAGACACACACAGACACAGACACACACACACACACACATAGCCCATTGTTTCATGTTCCATGTCCCGTGTCCCGTGATTTATTGCGTTCCTTTTCTAATGTTTTTCTCCATTTACGTTCCGTTACGTTTCGCTTTCGCCTAACGGAAGGAAGTCTGTGCGATAAAGCCTGTGAATTGTTTTCGGACAGCCAAACTCTAATTGGAGGCATGCTGGCCATGTGGCACAATCTCCATGGCAAATAATGGATGATGCCTGGGATTAAGTCGGTTAGCCAGCAGAAGTCACTCAGCCATGTGCAGCAAACAAACAACATTTGCTTGGCGAGACATCTCAGCTCCCAGCTTATTATAATTTATGACATTTATTCCATGCGAGAACATCTGTATACATATGTAGAGCTTCGGGCTGGAGCATTTGTCACGAGCGCGGAGCAGGAAAAGGAAAGTTGTCGAGTAGCAACTGCAGCCACGAATTAGCATTGAAGACAACAAATTCAAATAAATTGAAAATTGGCAATAGCTAGATATATGCAAGTCGAATCATGTAGACTTCAATTATTTCCCACTGAAGATCTCAGGAATCAGCTTGAAACATATTAAAAAGACATTTTACGGAATAAACTAAGTAAAAAATAAGTAACTCAACTCCTTTTCAAAAAAAAAAAAAAAAAAAAAGTACTGAGATCCCATATCTGCTATAATTGCATATTTCTCTTTTCAAAATTTTTAATTGCATCTGGAAACTCTTTCCATATCAAACTATATGTCTACATGAAGAACAACTTGATTATAGACTTTAAAAGCAATGGAAATAAACTGTGCTATTAAATACCATTATTTAGTATTATCTACTCACTTCTATGTTTCAAATTAAATACAATTATCGGCTAATTGTAGCATATTTAATAAACAATTTACGCCTCAACACTAGCAATAATTTGATTTTATTTGATTTTAAATTGATATTTTATACTCTCCTTTAAATGAACTGAAATTATATCTTAATTGAAACACGTACACTGAGTTCATATAAGTTTAAGGATCATTTATGCTAAATTGGACAGTTTGGCCTCTTATATTATTGTTTGCGTGACAGCAATATTATTTTTAGCCCCAAAAATTTATGGCATTTTCTCTGAAAACTGTTTATTTAGTTTACCAATGTCAAAGCTCTTGAGGTCCCCAGGGAACCATTGGCAGCCGTGACTAGGCACAGACGACGCGATACCAGAGGGAATCAAAAGAACCAACATGAACAACAACAATTTACCTGCCACGCCCACGCTCATAGCACTGCCAACTTTAAATTACGTGTAACTCGGCATAATGTGCCCAGAACCTGAAGCCTTCAACCTGCTCCATGCATCCATGCATCCTTCGCCAGCAGAGAACGTGATTGGATTCCACAAGCAACAACAATCAAATCAATCTCAATCTTTATACTTCTCTTCATTTCTAGCTATTTGTGCGGGCACATATATAAATATATATATGTATATGTAGACGTATGCCGCAATAAAAGGCGCGCCGGCATTCAGAAGATGAGAGAGAGAGAGAAAAATAAACGAATAAGACGACAAACAGAACAAACGCAGCTCAGGTGAATACCGCAAAGGTATTAACAAGAGGAAAATGAAATTTGTAAACAAACTATCAATCAAACAAATGAGCTGAATAAACACGGACAAACGAAAGAGATAGCGAAAGAGAGAGAGAGAGAGAGAGAGGGAAACAGATAAAGACTGAAAAGATATATATAGTCACATAGAGCGCTTCTCGGATGCAAAGCAACAGATAAAAGACGACAGACAGCTTCAAGTGCTCAAAACAAAGCTGCGATTGCTACCTGTCCAACTTCTCTCTCTCTCTCTCTCTCTCTCTCAGGCAGAGCTCAAATCTTTCAGTGTGTGGGCAGGCAAATGCGCTTTGGCTCTGCCAAACTAATATGGCATGTAAAATTCTCCCGGTTTGTGTTAAACTTTTGTTCCTGCATGATGAATGGCCAGAGTGGAAAAGCAAAGAAAATAAATAAAGAAAATTCCGCTGTCAGACGGTAGCTGGTAGCTGCTAGCTGGCAGCTGGGCGTTGTGCCGCAATGGGCGTGGCGCATGCAATTTATCTTGACATTTTAATCTGGCCCATTGTAAGCACTGAAAACTAGAAGCGCACAGCCACAGTGCCAAGTGTTACCAATATGCAAGTCCAGTGTGGCCAACGCCTTTGGGAAACACGCTCTTTAAAATCCACTTTGCCTCCCCCCGACCACGTCGTTTTCCCGAAATCCAATTAGACAATCAGACACATAAACAATGGCTACGCAGCCAAAAAAAACAAGAAACAAAAACAAAAGAACATTAAATGGCATATAGATGCAGCATTGATGTGCCATGCTCAACTAGCACATATCCTGTATTTAGTTTAGTTTGCTGCAATATATATAAACTTATATACAGTCGAGTCTCAATAATTTGCACCATGCTAAATCGAACAGATTCTATCCCCTTGAAAGAAATTAGTTCTCTAGCATTTTCGATAATTTGAATTTCTGTGTTAATCGAAAGAAACTAATTCCTTTTGCCATTTAGAATTATCGGAATTCTACTGTATATTCTTATATACATATCTCATAATTATCTATCCTTCCATTTTCCATTCCATACTTTCTTCCACTCAACTGCAATAGTTATAGGGTATCGCTTAGTGCCCAGCCGCACTTAACTAATCGGGCTTGGATTCGTCCACGGATTTGGCAACGTCTTTCTTTTTTTTTTTTTTTTTTTTTGGATCTACTGCCATTTGCTTCTGCAGACTTTCACTTTCGTCAGCAGAATGCAATTAAAGGCAAGCTTGGCTCGCCACATTTGCGACTGTATTTTCCTTTTGTGCTGCACTCTTTTGTCTGTGGCCCTAAATGTATCTCATAGTTTGTGTGTATCTTTGAGTACGTATTTATGCATGTATATGTGTGTATGTGAGCTGGCGCCGGATGGGTCATTGCACGCTGTCGTCTAGAAGTCGCATTTGGTCGGGAAAGTGTGAAAAATGCTCTTTTCCGCAGCGCATTTTCTTTCTGCTTGGCGTATTGATTGACTGACTCGCTGCTGTGAGTGCGTGTGTGTGTTTGTGTGTGAAAATATGCGAACACTTTAACGAAGCTACGAGGAGCTTTTCATTCACTATAAGCGCCTTACAAATTATGTTTTATAGACGTCTTCTTCAAGACTGTTCAGGCGGCTAACTATTCGAGTGCACTTAATTAGCTTGGATAATTGATGGTAAAAGTAAGAAATGCCTTCTGATCACAATGAGATATTTTTGTACTCCCAATGCTTGTAGAAGCAATAGATGAATTGTGATTATAATTATTATAATTATAATCTATGCTATGGAGGCACCTCTGAATAATTTGTGAGCTAGTGTTTTAATAAAGAGCACAAGAAATATTATATTTATATTTATTAAATAAATATTTAAACCACGCAGATATCGGAAACCTATCCGTTTTCTATTCCGCTAATAACTTGGGTTGATTCGTTCTTTGTTCCGTTAATATTCAGGGCTAGTTTTTCAAATATCTTAAGGAAATGTTTAAGAAATTTCGGATTATTATTTGATGCCCAAGATATGTGATATAGATATCTAGTCCATGATGTATTGTGAGATATTTAGAACTTTTGCAGCAAATTTGCATTTTCTTGACTGCTCTTCAACTGAATTTTTAAATTTCCTTGAGATTTTTTTTGGTATGAGCCTGCAGCTTTTTCGTAATGAATGTAATCCAATTATTTTTGGTGTTACAAGCAAACAAAAGTCTAATCAGCTGCACGCCCTTAAACAATATGACCAGAAGAGGGAGACTCTAACTAATATATGATATAAATACATACATCTGTAGATATAGATATACATTTATATTTATATATATATATATTGGTCCAGCTGTTGCCTCAAGGCAGGTCGCATCATTCACACACACACACACACACACACATACACCGATTTATGAGTGTGTGCGTGTTTTCTGTATCTATTTGTACGATTATGGATATTGCTCATTAGGCTGATGGCTGCCAAGGCACCATCAAAGTTTGCTTATTATTATTTATTTATCCACCCCAAACAGTCAGCTAATTTCAGCCGGACGGACGGACGGATGGACTGACTGACTGACCGCATGCCATTTATGCGATGAGAAAAATCTCCAAAAACTGCCAAAAAGATTTTTGTTTGCTGTCAGTTGCTGCGCGCCTATTTTTTCACTATTTCAGCGTCAAATGTAAATGGGGAAACGAACAAATACAAAACACAAACAAAAAACTAAATCGAAAATGAAACAAATACAAAGCCAAAATTTGCATCTTGCCTGTTATAGAAAAATGACGCAACTAGACAAAAATCGAAACGAAAATATCAACAAATATGTACGTCCATTTGCTACATATGGCAAGCAAATTTAATGTTTTAGCAACGGCGAGT